AGAAAGAGTTCTCAATTATGAACACTATTTGGTCCCAAGACTATCCTCATGGCAGAGAGTACTGTTAAAGCCTTGCTTTCCTGCAAAGATATTATTGATTTAACTTGCTCAGTTTTATGACAGATGCTAAAGTACTATCAAGAGACGGATGGTCAAAGACAATGGGGAAAAAAGTAAATTGTGTATTGTGGTCATAGCATACCTGTATTTATGATATACAACATTTTATTGCAATTTTTCTTTGATGTTTGAAACAAATGGTATTTAGGTGATATTTTTCATTATGTTCCTTTACATTTTTTCCATGTACTAAGTCAGTAGAAGGAATATTATTTTAACTTGCTCAGTTTTATGTGAGAAACATGTAAAGAAAGTACTATTTAGTGACAAGTATGGCTGGTCAAACAAAACAATATATTGTAGAAACAATGGTAAAGAAAACTACTTGCCTTACTGACAAGCATGGGTGGTCAAACAAAAAACTATATTGCAAGAAGAATGCAATTTGTATTTTCTTTGAATTATATTTGCAACCTATTAGAAAACCTTTAAATTATGTATGAAACAGGAATTTGGGTTGAGCTGACAATTTCCATTATAATGTTCCCCTTTTTTTTTCATGTAAAAAGTCCAAGTAAAAGGCAAATATAATTATGTAGTATAATACCATGGACTCTTTAAGTTAATCCTTGTCCTGGTTTTGGCATAAATAATTATGGTAAGCCTACCTAGATGCATTCATCAGTGTTTATTACCCTTCTTGCTTTGTCACTTTCACTACATAGCGATGCTCCAGGTATGTGGAGAACACTTGGGTTTAGAGATACAGGGAGGAGAGGTTGCAAGAAACTAACAGAAGGATCTGTTTTAGAGACAGATTTTGCACCCAGGGAACTGCTCTCGGGTTTAATTAAATGTGGAGACTTGATCCATGCATTGATACCATCCACCAATATGCCAGAAGTACCTTGTCAAATTTACTATTATTTAGCAGTAACAATGTTTCATAAACTTTAAAATATTGTTCAAGGGCTATTATGGACAGAACTCACTGACGTATAGACCTGAAAGGTTAATAAAAATAGAAGATATAGGACCATAGAGCTTTGGGTCTAAAACAAATCGTCAAATATCAGTTCGCTAAAATTATTAAATATAATACGGTACAGTACAAGGAAAATGTTACTATAACTGACAGGAAAAATGGATCGTGAAAAAATCAGTACAGGCATTGGCATATATTACTGTACACGCAAATATTATCAAGCTAGATAATTGTTTGAGTAAGATCCCCTGTCTTAATAGTTTGAACACCTCAGTCCTTCAGTATTTTTTTAGAATAACAGTTGAACAATAACTTATGGGATCACTTGAAGATTAGCCCACTCGGCTAACCTAATACAATCCTCCAGGTAGCTTTAGGGTAGTGGAATAAGCAGGGGGCTCATCTTCAGGTGTTCCAACCTTTGTACTGTATTCTAAACCTCTCCACAGTCTTGCTTCTTATCCCAATGTACTTTATTCTATACTGTACAGTACAGTACTTCTATTTAAGACACCATCGTGCCTTCACACTGGCTGATGGTTTAGCATATCAAAAAATGCCCCAAAACCTCATTCACTGTGCATCTTCAAAATAATTTCTTGTGAAAATATATGAACTAAACACCCTCTTTTAGCTTCCTTCATCTCTTGTGCAGTATTTTCTGCCTGTCCTAAGGTTTGCTGGTCCACTCTATTGTAAATACAGGTATTTACCCTTACTTAACAATTAGGTTAAGTTAAAGTCCCTGAGAGCCCAGGCAAATGAAGCTGAGACTAGGAAAACACAATAAGATGCAGTTTGTGAATATTTGTACAGAGGCTCTGATTATGCTACCCCCTCTCAGGATACGAGGAGTCTGGGACAAAAGCAAGGGGACAAGCCTCGCCCCCCTCATGATCACACTAGAGAGTGAGGAGAAATGGAAGGTTATCCGGCATGCATAAAACTTAGCAAAGAGCGAGATGTTTCAGAATGTATTCATTCGCCCAGATTACACGGCACTGCAGAGGGAACAGCACAAAAAGCTCCTGCAAGACTTGAAGCAGAGGAGGGAGGAACGGGGACGGCTATACACGGGTTATATCCAGGGGGAGGGTAGTGGAAGCAAGTGTGCCGACACAGAGGCGCACCCGCTCTACCCCCCCCACCTGGGAGGAGGCACCAGCTCTGCCTACCAGACAGGAGGAGGCGAGCGCCGTGTAAACAATGACATTTCTAACCACACCCTGCAAAATATAGTGTACTGTACTTAGCAAATGCTGCAGCTTCTGAGAATGGAGGGGGCCAGAGTTACTACTAAGAGCAGAGGCATTACCGACAAATTCTGGCTAGAATGTCATGTACACTAATACTGAAACGTTCCTTGATGAGAGAGGAGTTTGAAACACTACTGAAGGTACACCAACCCGATATTGTAGGAGTTGTAGAACCGTTGTACAAGAACAGGAGAATCGACCCAGAGGAATGCGAGTTCAGTACTGCTGGATATGACTCATTTACGAACTTTTCTCAAGAAACTTGCAAGAGGGGTGTGGTTATCTATGCTAGGCAAGACCTTAAAGCCAGCCAGGCGAAGGTACAGGAAGAGGATGTTTTTGAAGAGTGGAAGTGTTGTAAAATTAAATTAAAGGGAGTGGACTTACTTATTGTCGGGTGTATCTACAGATCCCCAAACTGTAGCATACCAAATCAAAGGAACATAGAGCCTTAATAGACAATGCAATGCTCAACCCTAGCCACCTCCTTATCATGGGGGACTTTAACTATGGCGACATCGATTGGAGAAACGAGTTTACCCCAAATGACTTGAGGACCATAAGAGTCTCAACCCCAGCATGGTGCATCCCAGAGTGCTTAGAGAGTTGTGCAACAAGCTTGCCAAGACCCTGAAGATCCTGTTCTGTAAATGCCTGGATGAGCAAAAGGTCCCCAGTGATTGGAAAATGGCTTATGCGAGTCCTATCTTCAAGAAGGGCGATCGTCACTCAACGAACAACTATAGACCGGTGAGCCTGACCAGCATAGTATGTAAAGTACTTGAGAGCATTATTCAGAGATGCCGCAATGGAACATTTACTACGAAACAACCTTGTAAAGGATTGCCAACACGGTTTTATGCCGGGGCGCTCCTACTTAACACAATTGCTCAAGGAATTGGATATTTGGATCCATATTCTGGAACGGTGGTAATATCGACAATATATACCTAGATTTTGCCAAGGGTTTTGACAGCGTACCCCCATGAGGCTGAAAATTAAACTGGAAGGGTACGGGTTTCAGGGAAATGTCCTAGTGTGGATAGAAGACTTTCTACATGACCACAAGCAGTGTGTGGTGATTAATGGCACGAAATCATCATGTGTACCCGTCACAAGTGGGGTACCACAGGGCATTGTATTGGGGCTGCTGCTGTTTGTTTGTTTCATAAATGACATGCTTGATGCTGTATACTCCTCCATACAAATGTTTGCCGATGACGTCAAGTTATTTCGGGAAATCAAGAACCAAGCAGACTGAAGAGCTGCAGAAGGATATCTGCGAGCTCCAAGAATGGTCGAAGAAATGGCTGCGGAGATTCAATGTCACGAAGTGTAAGAGGATGCACCTGGGGTGTACCAACGGTAAGGAGGCGTATCATATGTCCCAATGGGATGAAGAAACTGCACTATTTGAGACTGAATGTGAGAAGGACTTAGGTGTGTATGCTGACAATGAGCTGAAGTTCTCAGGCTACTGCGAGAAGGTAAATCAGGCAAATATATTATGTCTTATAAGAAGGTCGTTCAGATATCTAGACGGCCCGTCCCTCGTAACGATCTTCAAAGGTGAAGTGCTTCCCCATCTGGAGTACTGTCACCTGGTCTGGTCCCCAAGATATGCTAAAGACTGTCAGTTGATTGAAAATGTCCAGAGGGCCACCAGACTGGTGCCTGCACTATGGTACCTCAGCTACCCTGAGAGATTGGAGCGCCTAAACTTGCCTAGCTTATACTACAGACGGGCAAGGGGGGACCTAATTGAGGTGTATAAGCATCTCAAAGGGCACTACTCAGTCGAGTGTCCTTACCTGGAGCAGGTGGACGCTCGCCCCACAAGGGGTCACAGTTCAAGGTTGAAGAAGCCGCAAGCTCAAAAAACTGTGAGGGCAAACTTTTTCGGAGTAAGAGTTGTGAACTCTTGTAACAATCTGCCAGAAAGTGTTGTGATGGCACCAACTGTGAGCTCTTTCAAGACCAGACTTGCCCAACACTGGAGCAGGTTCAGGTACATTCAGAAGCTGGTGCATGCCCAGTACTTGCCAACAATGCGTAACAGAGACGTGACCGATCGCCCAAGTGGCTAACGAGCCGATCAGTAGTGATGAGGATAAAAGTAAAAGTACGTAAGTAAGAAAACAGTTGAATGCAATGCCAGCAATATTGCATCTTTGAGTATTGAAGTCTTGGTATACCTTATTGTCTATTTCTACACGGCTTCCAATGGGCCATCAAGCCAATGCATCCTACCCTTTGTTTTTTAATTCATTGACATTTTTCATTAATGCTGTACAGGCCTTTTCCTTGTGACACTTGTTTCATTCTCACCGTTCAACAGCCAGTGAGTTATTCCACTTTCTTAGTATGACTTTGGTCCATCCATTGACAGGTTTATCCACCATCAGCAAGTGTACACAATAGCATAGTGGAACTTATTGCTGAGTTAGTTAGGAATTGAACACTTGATCAATCACTTGTGAACACTCCTGAATAAGCTACAGAGTAACTGTAACTTCAGATAATTACTTCTTTTTTCTTTGAGTACGTTCAGACCAACTCAGACCACCAGGTTTTGCTTCATCAAGTATTTAATACTTCCCTATAGGCTTATACTGTACAGTATATATTGTTTCCAGTGATATCTGCCTTACTTAATCCTGAAACTTGCAATCTCAAAGATGGTACAGTAAAACAGTAAGTCTTGCATATAATGTAATGTATCATGTGAAAAATTACAGGTTTCTAATGAATAGAGTTTTGGTACTCTAACAATGATTGTTGAATTCTGCTGAGCTGTATATAATCTCCTTTAAAGTCATCATGAAATAAAATGGCATATTCATGACATACATTAAGTCACTTATAGATTTGTGACAGCAGTATAAGGCTTGAAAATTTTAAAAAGAACTATGGAAGCTGACATATCAATTGCTACTGTCCATAGCTGACATGGCTGTGGTGTTGACACTTATACTTGTGGCAGCATCTGCAAGAGCAGTATGAATATCTTTTGCATACACCACCTGATTTCTCACTGTTCCAAGATAATGAGCATATTTCTGCACATCAACAGGTGGTGTGGATATTGAATTTGGTGTATACATCTGGGAAGCCTTTCCTTGCAGTTGACTGTCAATTGCTGTTCTCTGTGGATGGAGAAAGATAATAGAATATGTGAGAAATCAATTAACCCTTGAAATACAACTTCCTCTTACATCCAGACTCCATGCTTCACACTCGCATTAAAATACATTTATCAATTCCCCTGTACATCGCCTAATTTGCTTTATGCTTCTCTCTCTCTGCATTTCTCTATGCACCTGTCAGTTTCTTCCCTCAGCTATTCTGTGGTTAAATTTATCGCTTCTCCACCTATTTTATCTCCAGTATTCACTAAAAATTTATATTTTTCTTCCAAGCACTGTAGCACATCACAGTAAAGTAATGTCAGTTTACAAACAACTTGCCTCCTCTCTCTACCACTATTATCACATTTTTGGCTATTCCATCCATGGCATTATTAAAATAATCATGGTGACATTACACATTCATGACAGTCCTACTTTCATTGGAAAACAGTATCCTCTTCAGGACAGTAACCCATTTGATTCTATTAAATGCTTTGGCCAGCATTCAATTTCCCATTTATCACATACATTTCCTGTACCTCCCATGTAGTTTTTAATCAACTGAAATAAGATTTTTTGAGATTCATAAATTTCATAAACAATTGTGCATGCTATACTATTCCTTTGGTACCCTTCCTATGTCATTAATACCTGTACACCATCCATTCTTCCACAATTTCACCTTCCATCCTTAACATTTGAAAGGTGATTACACCCATTCCTGGTGTCTTACCATTCTTGAGCTTACTTACAGCCAGTCTCTTCCTCTCTTATCATTTTGGCACCATTCAACCTACCACATATCTCATGTTACATTTATCAATTGTTCAAAAGTAAAATTCTCTCAATCTTCCTTTTACTTCATTTTTTTTTTATAATTTATTTCCTCTTACATTTTTTTTTGCTATTTCCACTTGTTCTCTTAGCTTTCTCACCATATTTAATTCCCTCCTAAACAGCTTCTTTTTGTCTACTGTAAAACCCCAATAATTCGTACACCCCAAATTCGAAATCACCCATAATTCGTAATGGTTTGCTGTTACGAAATATATACTGTCCTGTATTACATACAGTGAACCCTCAAATATTCAGACCTGGTAAATCCGGATTTCAGAAGATTCGGACAAAATTTGGGGGTTCTGGGGCCTAAAAAGCCTCCCTAAGAAGCATTCCCAAAACAGAGCAAAGATCTTAGACCAATGTTACTAAGATGTCAACGTGCAGGACACAGGTGCCCGAGGAAGCCGGAAACGTACACAGAGTTGTCAATTATTGTTAGTGGGAATATAATTTCATTAACTCTAGTAATGATACAATGTTTCTTATTAGGTTACTGTATGTAAATGCATGGTTTATATAACTTGTATATCACTGTGCCCATCACCATTTCCAAATTAGACTACAAGATATGTATTTCTCCGATACGTATTTCGATCGTACATCTGGCAATGGGAGCGAGTAATGGGGGTGGAGTGACTCTAGTTAGCATGTCGTCTGCTGTTGTAACTCTCCTCACTCCCTGACATATTTCAATGAATTTGCTGTTGTTATTAGTGTTTACTGATTTAATAGTGATTAATCATGGCATTGTAGCCAGGTTAGACTCATCACTGTAACCACCGGGATACTGGGCCAAGCTGTGAGGTGTTATAGTTGTTTTTCAACTCGTATTTTCGGGTAGATATACGTAACTTTCTTCATTTATTTTTACTCGGTTACATGCACACACCATCCTACGCACATATTGTGAAAAAAAGTAAAAGAAATAATTGTCCTGAGGGCAAACACATAAAGGGAATACTGTATACATTTCTTTGCACACGAGTTAGCTGGCTCAGTGAGGGAGCGGAGGACGGTAGGAAAGTGTAGGCACTGTAGGGGGTGGAAGCTTTGCTAGGGAATCTGCATTCCAGCTGGTCTTCGTTACTATGGTGAAGCAGGGAGTGTTTGCAAATGGTGACCGTGTTAAACTTTCATTCGGCTTTTATTTACTGATTTGGCAATGCAGTGGTTTTTGTTGTAACTTACTTATTGGTATTATTTTTATTTATTCCTCACATTTACTGGTACTGTATAGTATAATATTATTTCAAGAAAACTATGGCTACAGGAGGAAAATACACACAAAAGTTTTTCCTAAATACTCCCTGCTAAAATGGGGGATGTGTCTTATATGCCGTAAAATACGGTAGTGTACTTTTGGTGTTTTTATATACAATAATTATTTATAATTTTTATACATTTAGTACATTCGCCGGAAGATACAGACAATCGGCTTTTTCAAACAGGTGGTTCCCCCATTTAGTCTGGATCTTTGAGGGTTCACAGTATGCCCCTCCCCCCCTCCCGGTCAACAAATGATATTCACGGATTTGGCAATTCATGACCGTTTTGAGAACCAAACCCTTGTGAATTTTAAGGTGCGTGCTGTACTGTATATATTAAAATTTTCGTAGTACACCCTCGCAAATCTGGACAAATAGGAAGGAGAGGGTATCCGGATGAACCGGAGGATGAAGGTGCGTTAATTATAATCATAACATTGTACATCAGCTTGCATTCCCCAACAGTCATTTTAGGGGTTGAAGAATCTGGGCTATATTTAATTGCAAATGACTGCAGGGAACCTTAGCTTTTCGTATATCAGACACCATTTGCTTAGCGATGCCATATTCACTACAGACCAACCACTCACTAACGTTTATAACAACTCCAGCTTCTGAGCTACTCAGTAAGCACGTACGTTTCCTTTTGGGTGCCATCACTACACTTCACAACAGTCACAAGGCACAAGAAATCAGGCACAAAATACACCAGGAACAGCAAAAGGGAGTGATCGAGAGGTAGCAAAAAGGTGTACACACACCGAGACTGTGGAAGGACGCACATTGTGAGTAGTGGTGGGAGATGTAGACAGAGTCCATTTTAGCAGTGGGGAAGTAAACGTGGCATACGGACAGAGAAAAAGACCAGATATGAATTTGCCACATCCAGACATTGTCCGAACCAACCACCACTAGTTACTGCCTGCCATCCCACCCATCATTCAACTTGAGTATTAGCACAAATTTTCATTTAAAATCTATTTTCTTACTACTGTATTATTAGGTTTTCTTCTATTATTGTATTATTTTATTGTAGTAAATAAAACATATACAAATATATACTCCGTATACTCAAGTATTGATTGTTAAAAGAAAATTAAAGAAATATAACTACTATTATAGAAACCAAACAAACAAAATTAACAATACTTATACTAATACGGTACACAGAAAAATACTCACAAGATTCAACTCCATCTGATCACAGAGTGTGTAAAACTTTTCAATACTTTCTTCATATTTAGCATGCTGCATTTCACCAGCATTCCTGTCAAAAGTCAAACAATATCAGACTAATCAAACTGAATAATATAACTGGGAAGATTATATGTATGACATTTTGCTGATATGTAAACAATGGAATTCTGGGTACTGATGGATTTAACAATTCCAGTGATGCCACTACCCCAGTGAGCACTGGTGTCATCTCTGTTAACTCATTAACTAGCTACAGTATTAATCAATCTCAGAGTATTCACAAATTATTTCCAGTGTTTTTAATAAATATGATAACTTTACTAAAAAGGTCATTCAACAATACAGTGTACCAACAATAATTACGGCAGTTTTGGAAGGGTGATGAAATAACAGACACAGCTGATGGCAGTAATTGTGTGAGCACTGAAAGCTATGTGGGGATGATGATGACACAGAATATCAGCATAATACAGTACTTTCTTTCATAACTTAACACAAGTGCACAAGAACTCCATAGAAGTACAGTACCCATTCGAAATTTACAGTACCGGTATACTACTGAAAAAAAAATCCCGTAACCTTAACCCCTTTCAAGTGGAAAGTTTGTATTAACAATAATTTTACCCTATGAGTTTTCAATAAAAAAGATTGTACGATGCATTGCTCTATATACCAAGAACTTTAAGTAAGAAGAAAATTTTGAGCAGATACCTAAACAAAGGAAGGAATCAATCAAGGACGGGTAAAATACTTGTACATATCTACAGTACGAGAGATTGAGTCTGAAATCCAGTTTATAACTACAATAAACCAGAATAGAACAACTCAGGAATAAGCCTGCCACAGTTTAGGAACCCTGGACAGCATAACTCATGACAGCTGGGGTAACTAACCAAAGATTTGCCATCTCCCCTTCAGGTTATTGCCACAGCCATCATGAGTTTCAATGCTTAAGCCTATGGCAGGCAATCTAAAGAATCCCATTAGGTCATAAACTAACACTACTAACGTTGTTAAAATTCAAAAATGTGTTTAAGTGAGTCTGAATGATGGTCAAATACCTGTTTCCTAAATCAACTTGGTGATTGCCTGTAAGGTTGGTGGCAAAACATCCGAGGGATTCCTGTGAACAAGAAAGAATGAATTGAGTTTTAACATTCCTCTACTGCCACCAGATTTTCCAATACATTTCTTCAAACAATGAGAATAAATGAATGACACTAAATAGTCTATATTTAATCATGGTTCTGTTACAGGTGTAAAGAGAATTTTTGCAGGGTATGCAAGAATTTCTGGGGTACAAATCTGAATTCCTATTTTTCCTATAAAATATTAACTTTGGTATAGAATATGGCCCATAAAACTAAACCTATTCTATTAACCCATTGTGTATGAGGTCCACTCTGTGTTGAATAGAATTGTCAGGCTTTAACAAATAAAATATTAAAAGTGGCATCCCAGTAGAGAAGGGGTTAAAGACAAATGTACAGTATTGAGTAAAAGAGGAAGACCAAGGTGCTGTAGAGGATTCACTAGAAATGAGAGGGAGGGACATCTAAGAAGCAGGTGTAGTGGTGTGTATGGATGACAGGACCACCATTAGTGTCGAGTGATTTTTGATGATGGACTTGCTGGTGATGGGAGGTTGTCTGAAGTGGAACACGTCTGTTTCAGCAGTAAGACTGAATTAATGTTATTGAATAAAGATAAAGTATATTAGTTCCACTTGATTCTGTCCAACCTGCAATAAACTACATAGGGTAAAGGCTTGCTAAAATAATTAAAAAGTTATAAAAAAACTTTCTCATATAACTGTAGATTGTGTAAACAGAAACTTTCTCAAGACAGTACTAAACATTTGTGTTACTAAGTTGTAAAAATCCTTTTTATGGTGAAGGCAAGTGGGGATGATGACAGAATATCAGCATAATACTTTACAGTGACCCCTCCGTTAACGAACTCAATCCGTTCCAGAAGGTCGTTCGTTAACCGAAAAGTTCGTTAACCGAAACCATTGTTTCAATGGGTTTTTGGGTAATTGGTTCCAGCTCACCGAAAATTTCCTAAATTCAACAAAAATGGTAGAAAAGTTCACTTACTTTGAGGTGTGTATGTAGAAGGCTCCTGGATGATGATGATGATGATGATGGGATTTAGAATAGGGGTGGAGGAGAAGGAAGAAGAGAAGGCATTGGGGTGGAAGAGAAGTCACCCCATGGCGCCATTTCACCCATAAAATTTTAGCTCTGGTGTAATTCAAGATTATTTTCTTTAAATCAACACTGCACTGCATTATATATTGTCAATATGTAAAATATATTTCAAAATTACCAATAATTTGCTTGGAAACACAGAAAAAAAGCGTTTAGTTGAAGAGAGTCTCAAGCAAGACGTTACCTCCAGTGAAAACAGAGAGAGACTAACTCCTGTTTGCTGTGTTAAGAGGCTGGATGCCGCGCATTAAACTAGTCACTTTACCTTCAATTATGTTCAATAATTGTTAAAATTACTAAAAAATTGAATATTCAACTTTTAAAATTATTGAATAGTATAAACTTCTTGATATTTACTAAAATAGTAAGGAATTTAAGCCCTAGAACCGATTAATGTATTGGCGGACTGATACTAAAGCTGGTTGCCCGGTCAGTGCAAGCGAAAACATGTTGAGGTCGGTTCGTAAGAACTTCGTTAACCGAATTGAAGATCCTTATGGAAGGCAGTTCGTTAATCGAAATTACGTTAACCGAGGTGTTCGTTAAACGAGGGGTCACTGTATTTCATAACTTAACACTAGTGCACAAGAACTGTACACATCCAGTGAGACATCACAACTCCCACCCCTGTCACGCTCTTCCAATTACTTTGTACCACTCCCTCATACCTCCTTTAGTTTTCACTGAAGTTCTGCTTCCATCATAAAAACTTAACGGGTTTTACTTAACTTTCGCATATCTCATCCGAGGTCAATATTTCTCATAGGCCTTCTTATTTATATAATTATATACTGGGTATTGTTTCTAAGGCTATGAATGTAGTACAGAATATACCATACCACACTTTCTACTTCTTCTCTAAGGTATAAAAAATGGGAGGGGGGGGAATAAAGGGTGACTAAGGTTTTATCATATTTTTTTGGGGGGAAGGCTCTTGGACTACAGTACAGTATAACACTCCTTCATAATTTGTACAATAAAAAAAATGATGGCACATAGCAAACACAACAGAAACTTCATAAGCCACAGAAAACTATACTGCAGAGTACAGCTGCTCCTCGACTTATGAAGGGGTTAGGGACCCAAATCCAGGTCGTAAGTCGAAAATGCTTAAATAATACATAGAAAATCTAAAATGGGTTTCTCTTTTTCTTCTCAGCACCATAAAACTCTCACTTTTAAGCTTGCCAGCCATTTTAATTACAAAAAATTTTTTTGTCAGAACACAGCGCAATCACTAACGTCAGGACTCCAAAATAAGTACAGTCGGCCCTTCACATACGCGGGCTTAGCATACACGGATTCGCAAATACGTGGATTGCCCAGCCGGAGGAATATTCTGTACATTGAAGTAATTGAAGTACATTCAAATCGCGCGCGGCACCGCCCCCCACCCCGCGCTCCCTCACTCAGTCAGTCTCGCTGTAACCACGCTTGTGATGACATCAGCATTGTAGGTCGACCCTGATTTTTTTTACCAAAAAATCGTTAATTTATGATATTCTTTGTTTATAGGTCGACCCAAGTTTTTGAGGGTATTAGAACAACAAAACCTTCAGTAAAAACACTTTACGTCCAATAAACTGAGGCTCGCCGTGCCTGAAACACAGAGTGCCGAAGGCAAATTGTTTACCATTCATTATTACGACACTTTACACTGAAACGCGGGTAGTTTCAACAAAAATATTGTATATTTCCATTCAAGTATTTATTCAAGTCAATTAGGAGGGAATATTATTGTAATACAACAGTTTTTAACTGAAAACCAGTACTGTACACTAATGTACAACAATTTTTATCTCTTGAGCAAAATATATGACGTTTATATTCAAATTATTGGCTGTCTTGCAAGGATTCCAGCAATGCAAATTATAATCTCCTAACTTTAGTCTGAGATATTATATAAGATAAAAACTGTAAGCCTAAATAAACCCCTGGCTGAGCAGATGAGGGAGGGAGGGATGGAGCCAGCCAGCCAGCGAGGGGTGATATGTTTGACAGTTTGAGCCGAAGGTCTCTGTGTGTTTATTTAACAGTCCTACTACGCTTCTCCCATTTTAAAATGCCAGTGAAATGGCCTGGGAGAATATAATTAACATTGCTGGGATTCTTGTAAGACACTGATTAATTTGAATAGCAACATGCTCTAATTTGCACTAGACATAACAATTTTAGTACCGTAATGAAATTAGTACATGTACACTCCAGCTTTGCATTAAGGTCATTTATTTCTTTTAGTACGGTTTGTGCATGTAAATGGATGAAAATAAATGAAGAAATTTATGTAAATCTACCCAAAAATACAGTTAAAAACTATACTGTATTATAAAATGTACTACACAGTATTGTACACTAATGTACAGTCATTAGCCTACATAAGGTTTAGCATTCATGGATTCACAAATCTGGGATTGTCCAGCCGGAGGAATATTCTGTACATTGAAGTAATTGAAGTACATTCAAATCGCGCGCGGCACCGAACACGGGACACCGCCCGCTCCCGCAACCTCACACACACACGCAGAGCTCTCCCTCACTCAGTCAGTCTCGCTGTAACCATGCTTGTGTTGACATCAGCATTGTAGTTGCAAAAATATTACATTTCCGTGAATGTATTATATCAAGCACAGTATGAATAGAATATCACTAATATAACAGTATTTTAACCGAAAACTACTAAAAAAACAAGTAACATATCTTGAACATCGGAAGGCTAGGTAAAGTCTTTTGTTTTCATGTAGTTTATCCTAATTTACATTGAAATGCATTACGTTTCAGCAAAACTACTACAGCAAACTACTACCAGGATCCTCGTTAACAAGCGCCTCGTTAACGAGATTTCGGGTTAACCATTCACCTCCATAAGATTTTAACTTCGTTAATCTAGCACCGATTAACGAGATTTTACGAGTCGACCAACATAAAGCTGTTGCATTTATGTCCAATCAGCTGTAGTATTAGTCCGCCAATACAGTAATCGGTTTTAGGGCGAATTCTTACTATTTTAGTAAATATCAAGAAGTTTATACTATTTAATAATTCTAAAAGTTTAATATTAACTTTTTAGTCATTTTAACAATTATTGAACATAATTGAAGGTAAAGAAACTAGTTTCTGGCGTGCCATCCAGCCTGTTAACACACCAGACAGGCGTTAGTCTCTCTCTGTTTTCAGTGGAGGTAACATCTTGCTTGAGACTCTCTTCAACTAAATGCTTTTTTTTCTGTGTTTCCAAGCAAATTATTGGTCATTTTGAAATTTATTTTACATATTGACAATATATAATGCAGTGCAGTGTTGATTTAAAAAAATAATCTTGAATTAACCAAGAGAACTAAAATTTTATGGGTGAAATGGTGCCATGGGGTGACTTCTCTTCCACCCCAATGCCTTCTCTTCTCCCTTCTCCTCCACCCCCATTCTAATTCCATCATCATCATCATCCAGGAGCCTTCTCATACACACCTCAAAGTAAGTGTACTTTTCTACCTTTTTTGTTGAATTTAGGCAATTTTCGGTGAGCTGGAACCAATTACCCAAAAACCCATTGAAACAATGGTTTCGGTTAACGAGCAACCTGCTGGAACGAATTGTGCTCGTTAACCGAGGGACCACTGTATTTATTTCTGAGAATATGGAAATGTAATATTTTTGCTGAAATGACATACGTATTACAGTGGAAAGTGACGAAAGCAATGTCTTTCACATTCTTTCATTCAAAAGATGTTACCGTAATCGCTTTTCAAATGGTTTTCAGTTAAAAAACTGTTGTATTACAATAATATTCTATCCTAATTCACTTGTGATGCAACAGTTTTTTAACTGAAAACCATTCGAAGAGCGATTACGGCAACATCTTTTGAACAAAAGAAAGCGAAAGTCATTGTTTTCGTCACGATTTTATCCCATTTTCCACTGTAATACGTACGTCATTTCAGCAAAAATATTACATTTCCGTGAATGTAGTATATCAAGCACAGTATGAATAGAATATCATTGTAACATAACAGTATTTTAACCAAAAACTATTAAAAAAACGAGTAACATCTCTTGAACATCGGAAGGTTAGGTAAAGTCTTTTGTTTTCGTCATATATTTTATCCTATTTTACAATGAAATACATGAAGTTTCAGCAAAACTACTATTTATTTCTGAGAATATATTCATTCAGGCGTAGTTTAGGTAAAATATACATGTGATGTAACATTTTTTAACTGAAAACGATTTGAAAAACACGTACCCTCTAGCCCTGTTCAAGGAGAAGACTGGGAGGAGCTGTTTGGTGCTGAAGACAATGACAAGGAAAATGATTTTGATGGATTTTAATGAAAATATTCAGAAATATGGTATCGTAGTATTTATTCAAGTAAATTTGGATAGAATATTATTGTAATACAACAGTAGTGAAGATGTGGAGGAGGCGGAGGGATAGAGCCGGGAGGAGTGGTGACGCTGGAGGCGGGAGCAGGGACGAGTGGAGATGCCAGCCAGTACATTACGGGTGTACAGTATTAATTGTTTTTATAGCTCTTTTTGCATTTTAATATTAAATACTGTACATTACATTTCAACAAAACTACTATTTATTTCTGAGAATATGGAAATGTAATATTTTTGCTGAAATGATGTACGTATTACAGTGGAAAGTGGGATAAAATTGTGACGAAAGCAATGACTTTCGCTTTCTTTCGTTCAAAAGATGTTACCATAATCGCTTTTCGAATGGTTTTCAGCTGTGGGATTATGAGGCTAATGATACGATAGAATATTATTGTAATACAGCACAACAGTTATTTAACTGAAAACCATTCGAAATGCGATTACGGTAACATCTTTTGAACGAAAGAAAGCGAAAGTCATTGTTTTCGTCATGATTTTATCCCACTTTCCACTGTAATATGTACGTCATTTCAGCCAAAATATTACATTTCCATATTTATTTCTGAGAATATATTCATTCAGTCACAGTTAAGGTAAAATATACTTGTGATGTAATATTTTAATGAGAATACGGTATCGTAGTTTTCTTTTGTTTCAAATTTAATTAACAAAGATTGATGTTTCAAATGTAATGAACAAAAATTTATGTACAGTATCTATAAATAAACTTTAAAAAATGAATACTTTATGTTTTACATCGTCCTGTGCATACCATACCATGCATTTGGCTACTTTGGGTTGCTATGATGACGCAAGAGATCTGCCCTGGCAACTGTACCGACACTCACAGCTGGTGGTGCGTTGGTGCTTCGTTTCCATTGTTTACTGGTAGTTACTGGTAAGTATTTTTCAACCTAACGAAATTATTACCCGTTTAGAGGTTGACCCCCAATTTTTTGCCAAATAATTTGGTCTTAAAAACTCGAACTACACACAGGTATATATGGTAAAGAAGGACATGGGGGGCCAGGGTTTTTTTGGTGGGGGGCAGCAAAAGTACACAGATTTTTAACATTCACGGGTATCTCTGTTACCTAACCCCCGTGTATGTTAAGGGCCGACTGTAATTTAAAAAATTTTTGGTACGACTGAGGCGGTCGTAAGTCGAGGAGTAGCTGTACTGTACAACAATAACATTTATCAGAATTAGGTCTCCTTACCATGAGTGACTCCTTCATCTGGCCAAAATGGTTCTTAACACGACTGATACTGTCTAGCTTGTACTCTTGCTGTTGACTAGACTGATGTTGTTGTTGTTGTTGTTGTTGCTGCTGCTGCTGCTGCTGCTGCTGTTGTTGTTGTTGTTGTTGTTGCTGCTGCTGCTGCTGCTGCTGCTGCTGTTGTTGTTGTTGCTGCTGCTCTTGTGATTGCTGACTTTGTTGAAGATTTTGTTGTGACCCTGTTGATGATGTGTAAATTAATAAACTGTGTCATTTTCCATGTTTATACCTGCATGTACACAATTTTGTGTACTGAACTGGTTAACCTAAACTAAAGCACAAAAAAGCAAAAAAACAATGCCAAACGATTTTGTCTGGTATTAAGAGAACATAAACTGGGCTGACCCCAACACAAAATAGGTCATTATTTCCCCGAGTTTGCTTTATGTTTGGTACAAAATAAAGAAATAATGAAAAGACTTAATTCGAAAGTGAATTTCATCTTTGACTTCGACCTTTTATGATATATACAGTATTTAAATTTTCTAACATCCTTTCTGAAGTGCTAATGCCTTGAAATCATTTGTATTTTGATAGTCCAGATATTTAACATTATTTTAGAGAATAACAGGTCTGCTTACCAATTGTGAATACATTTAGTTGGAATAAATGGACAGCTACATGAACATTTTCTATAAACCAATCAGCAATTTGTAACTATAGACGAGGGGCGTAGCTTACCGGCCAGGTGAGCGTGGAACTAGTATAGACAGGAGGACACAACAGCTAAGACAGGGGGACACAAGTAGGTAGTGGGAAATGTTCTCAAGGTAAGAAAGCTTTTATTTTCTACGTAGTGGATATTCTGTCGTGACTGGCTAAGTTCCTACTAACGCTATTTTACTTTGAGAGCGCTCTGATTGGCTAAGTACTTTCTGTCTAATATGGCAAGGGTCTGCTCTCTGGCTAGGAAGTTAGCTAAGGCTAGGTAGGCTTCTTTGGTTGGCTAGGTTAGGTTCTAGTTAATGTTGCCTCTTTTACAATGATAACAGCATGTGGAAAAAATGAACTCCTTCTGGTGGTAGTGGTGTTCTCAGCTATTACCATATTTTTAACCTTTATACAAGTTAGGTAATTTTAGATAAAAGGTTTTCAAAGGCTTGTTTGGGGTTCTTTTTAGTAGTGTTATGCCAAGGCATAATCTGGTACTATAATGTTTGTAAACTGGGTGTTTTGATTTTTTCTGTCCCAAGCAACAGTTATTTTGGCAAGTTTAGGGAGATTTTCTTGTATAACTTGATGTATTACTTAAGTAAGAATTTTCTAGAATGTATTGCTTTATTTTTTTTTTAAGATTTACTTCCTATTGTAAGCCTTGATCAGAGTAGAACGTACTAGAACTTCCCAGACCTGCCTGGGTTGTTTTAGGATCGTCTGACGAGACATATACTGTATAAACACCCGCGAACAGGCTAAGAGTCGGTCGACCGTATCTGCTCAAAGTGTGAAGTAAAAGCCTAGTAAGACAACTGAAGATAATTGTTGTGCACGTATTGTGGAATTGTTGTGATCAATATAAAGTGAAAAAACAAAGGAATTGTACACTGGTAGTGTGCTGACTATATATTCGAAGTGCGAAGTCCAGCTGTGAAGACATTACCCTGTGAACAGTGTTGTGAAGAATTAGTGACTATTAAACAAGTCTACAGTGCACAAGTGTGTTTCTGTGACCTCGTTGAAATCTACCTGCCTGTTGTCTGTACACTGATACCGATCGTTGGGAAATTACCGGAGACTGGCGGGACAGCCAGTGGTAATTCGAAGACACGTGTGATATATCTACTGCTTCTGTATACTTGTATATGACCTGGCCGCTGGTAACCAGTGGTGGAAGCTGGGTAAGCGGTGAAAGGAGGGTCATAACAGTATTTTACCCCACATTTTCCCTCTACTGCCCATTTTGAACAACCAATATTATTGGTAATTGGGGAGGTCTTATCGGTTAAAATACACTAAAAATATAAATTTGCGCCGGAAAGGCGAAATAATTTTTCTTTTGCATTCTCCCTATATAAATAGAAATATGAAATTCCATTTTCGATCTAAAATGAATCTTTAGTCTATTTTTGTAAGTAGTTTCCATGCACAACAGAAATATGGTTAGGTATGTTTATAGCTACACAATGATTGACTCATGGCGAAATAAATACCTAATGCTGCCAGTCACGCTCAAATATAGTTCTCGCGTTGTTTGCTGGTAATGGACAATTAGCTAATCAGAGAACACTCATGGCAAAATTGCGTCAGTAGGAACTTAGCCAGTCATGGCGAAATATTAACTACCATTTTCTACAGAATTTTTTTTTAAATTTTAGGGTAAAGGTGTAGAAGAGGGTGACCACCAGAAGGAATTGTCCAAATTGGTTGAATTTTTTTTTCTACACACTAATATGATATTAAACACAAAAATGGAAACAATGCACAGATCCAAATAGAACCTGACCTAACATACCCCACCTATGGGTTTGTTAGGTCAGGTTCTATAAGGTTCTATGCATTATCAGGTTAATTTATGTGTTAAACAACTTACCCTAATATTGGGGTTGATATATATCAGCAATGGCAAGGAGGAATACGTGGAAGCGTTCACCATCATTTAGGAAACGTCTCTTGAAAAGGGATTCAGCGAGGTAAACAACAATGGCGCCGGGAGGAGAATTGTGAAGCGAGATAGAGTAAATAAAAAGATTGTCAGGTTCTATTAGGTTCTATGCATTGTCGTTTCCATTTCTGTGTTTAATATAATGTTATTAGCATTATATAAAAAAAATACAAAATAATGCATAGAACCTAATAAATCTTAACCAAACATACCCAACCTATAGGTATGTTAGGTCAGGTTCTATGCATTGTCGTTTCCATTTTTGTGTTTAATATCATATTAGTTTGTAAAAAAAACATTCAACCAATTCCTTCTGGTGGTCACCCTCTTCTACACCTTTACCAATTTTAGTTTCGGTCATCCCTGTATTGACATATCCAAACTATGTGATTTCGAACAGTTATGAAGGTCCAAATCGTTCAACACACATTAAAACCCACTGGAAAAATATAGTTTGAATATCTAACCTAACCTAACCAAATTCCTAAGATTCCCCGGATGACCGAAACTAAAATATCAAAAAAAATTCCGCAGTTGGAGCTAAGGGCGGACCACTCTCATCAAGCATTACCCATCATTGTCCTTAACCATTAACCTTAAACTACACTAAATTCATGTCAATACTTGTCAATAACTGTTGTAACATGCATTTACTGTAGAATATATCAGACATAAAATGAATAAACTTAACATAACTCAGGTTAGATAGTTTAGGTTGGTTCATTTTAACACCAATAAATCATTTAACGTAGTTGGTAAATCTGAAAGTTTCTTGGATGTAACAGAAACTTGACAAGAGTTACAAATGACAGACCAACCCGGAGAATGGTAAACTGACCCAAGTGGTGAAATTATAAACAACTTAAGTCCTCATCTACCCATTGTGGCTATTCCTCCATGCTGGCTTTGCATCATAGCTTGTTGCTGTTGGACCTGTGACATCTGAGCGTTCATCATCTGGGGATTCATCTTTCTTATTCAAATTGAGCAGAATATATATATGCAGTTTACGTGAGTCTCCCTTTGAACCAGTGAACAGCTTCCCTTCCTTCTTCCTCTGACAACCCCTAGCGGTGTGGCCACTTCTCGGGGGTTAACTCCTCACAAACTTTACCTCAGTTCTCACACAACACACTGGGATGCTTATGAATACTAGAACATAATTGGTTTTCTGTTTATTATGTCGTAATGTATAAGAAAAATAATACAAGTTTCAAACTACATAGCTATATAACATTCTCTTATGAACGAAAAATAGGATTTCAAGTAAAAAACAAACACTGAAATGCGTTTCTTTTGCTTAAAATAAGTTCATGAAATAAAATAATTAAAATTATCTTACATTTCAAACGAAAGTATTCACTGGATGAAATAAATGTTTTTTTCAACAAAAACTTGTTAACAAGACGGAAATCACATTCAAAATAAAAGTTAATTACAAAGTGTGATTCTTTCACTTTATTATCAGCTAGAATTTTTAGCCTCATAATTTACATCACATAAAAGGTAGCAGGGTTCATAAGTCTTTTGTGTACATGTATCCTTTAGGATTCTATGGCAACTAACACATCCTCTGGCTCACCTTCATCTTCATTTGTTGGAGGATCTTTTTATCCCAAAACTTTTCAACATTTCATCTGTAGGAATGAAGGAAACGCATGTCTCGGACTCCAGCCTTAGCTCATATCGAATTTGTAAAATTACTTCAACTGACCTCACATTAAAGCGATTTCTTAGTTTGGAATTCACAGCATTCATTTGGGAAAATATTAATTCCACTGACGCATTTGAAAATGGGAGTGAGAGCAAAGCTAAAGCTAAGGAAGATATATTAGGAAAGGACTTTTGTCTAACCGAGTTTGTCTTTTTTTTTTATCCTCTTCACTACTGATTGGCTCGTTAGCCCAGAATGACACTGTAGTGGATTCCTCCCCTACAAACGCTTGTCGCTGAGTAGCCGACCCCGCGAATTCCCCAGTGTATGTCTCGTGGTCTAGGTCAACCAGCGCCGCCTTACATGACGGAGGTCAACTATTAAACCACGCCTACCTCCGCTATATAAGACCTGACCTCGTGGTGACCTACCCCTCTTTCTACCTACAGCCGCAGCAAGCAACACTTCATCCTCCACTCCTGCCTGGCGGTCCTCGCTCCCGCCGGCGAGCATGGCGACCCACAAGCTGTCCTCCTCTGAGCATCCTCACCAACCAGCTCTCTCCACTCAACGCTTGTAACCACGCTGCCACTTCCCAGCACCAAGCTGCACTGTACATCCAATACAATATGTATACAGGGAGCACATTGTGAGTTTCGTTTCTCCATCCCATCCTGAGTGTGAATCAAATAACCCGTACCCCACAAATGGTGACCCCCGGAGATTCGCACTCACACAGGATGGAGGAGAAACCGATCACGCTCCCAGTCTTCAAGCAACATGGAAGACTGGCTTATCCACACAGAGGCAGCTCTCATCGGCTCTACAGCTACTGTCTCTACACCACAGGTTAGACATCCTAGAGCAGCACTGCTTCTCTAGGAGGGAGATAGGAAGGAACTGGTTTACAAATAGGGTGGTGGACGAGTGGAACAAGCTGAGCAACTTTGTAGTAAGTGCTGGAAAGTTTCAAAAGGAGGCTGGATATATTCATGGATGATAGAGAGTGGTAGTAAATCTCGACAGGAGCTGCCATGCACAGGCCAACCGGCCTATTGCAGACTCCTTATTTTCTTATGTTCTAAGCAGACACCAGCTTCTCTTCCTGCCCCAAGCACCACATCCTACCGACCCCAACACACCCGTCCTGCCTCAGACGCCGCCTCCACCCAGCAGTACCCCCTGCCGCTCCTCCTGATGTGGCCCCTGCTCCTGATGCGGACCCACACACCCCTCTTTTCTCCCTCAGGTACCCCCTGCTACTGTCCTGCACCCTGCTGCTGTCGTGGACCCAGCTGCTGTCACGGAATCTCCTCCGCTCCTGCTGACGCAGCCCCTGCTCCTGACCCAGGCCCACACACCCCAACAGGCGCATCTGACGACTCTGTACCTGCCGTGAGGGAAGCACAACATTCATCGCCTCCACACACCCTTTTTCTCCTTCTCTACTCCCACAGATGTTGTGTATCTAGACAGTTGTCTCCTCTAGCGGCCAGCTCATCCACGCCCTCGCCGTTATGTCTCACATGTGGCATGCACCGCCCGTTCTGCCTCACATGTGCCATGCAACCCTGCAGACAACAAGTCTCCTACACCGCCTGGAGGGAAGGGGGAGTATTGTAGTGGATTCCTCCCCTACAAACACTTGTCGCTGAGTAGCCGACCCCGCGAATTCCCCAGTGTATGCCTCGTGGTCTAGGTCAACCAGCGTCGCCTTACATGACGGAGGTCAACTATTAAGCCACGCCTACCTCCGCTATATAAGACCTGACCTTGTGGTGACCTACCCCTCTTTCTACCTACAGCCGCAGCAAGCAACACTTCATCCTCCACTCCTGCCTGACGGTCCTCGCTCCCGCCGGCGAGCATGGCGACCCACAAGCTGGTCCTCCTCTGAGCACCCTCACCAACCAGCTCTCTCTACATCACGCTTGTAACTACGCTGCCACTTCCCAGCACCAAGCTGCACTGTACATCCAATACAATATGTATACAGAGAGCACATTGTGAGTTTCCTTTCTCCATCCCATCCCGAGTGTGAACCAAATAACCCGTACCCCACAACACTGTATTGTACTGCTAAAACATGACTTTGGCCACTCTTCAAACCCCAATGTATTCCACTCATTCTCGAGTTCATCCATATCTGTAAATGTGAATTGATATTTGGAAGCTATACCTATAGATGCAATTTGCTCTTTGCATTGAGAAGTTGCAATGGTTAGGTGCAACTGTCACCATGTGCAATGTTTCAATATTAACAGGAAGACACAACTGGACGTCTTTGAGCAATTCTACAACAAACTTCATACATCGCTCTTTGACATGTGTTATCTGCGCTTCATTCAGAAGGCAATTCACAGGTGTAGTACTGAAATCATAGCCAAAATGAATAGCACAAAGTGGAATCAGATGATCCATAAACTTCAAGTTAAGGATGTTCTCTAGTGAACACTTGGACAGGGATTGAGGCTTTACAACCATTCGCATAAGATTGCGATACATGCGAAGTAGTCCTTGTGTCGAAATGAAAAATTCTTACCATTGCCTGAAAATTCACATAAAAATATATACTACAGATATCAGGGGAGCAAGCATCTGTATGATAAGAAAGCAAGAGGAAAGTTTGGACGTTGGTCAACGTGTACCAGTGTGAAACCTTCATGGAAAGGGAAGGAGTAAAATCTAGGACAATTGGTATGATGATATGTATGTGATATCCCATGTGTTGAATGAGGAGGGAAGTGTGTATAGGGTTGTTCCTGAGGAAGGAGATGGGGCTTCAAAGGTAATACACCGCATGCAGTTGCGGGCAGCCCCAAGGGTAGCTGATGGCTCAGATGTGACAGATAGGTATGATGGTGATGATGAGGACGATGTCGGTTGCCCGGTGGGGGACCCACACCCTCAGTGCCGGATTAACCATGAGGCACTGGCCTCAGGCCCCCCCGACTCTTAGGGGCCCCCAAATCCAAACATTCTCGAAGTTGAAGCGTATAAAACATGAACTTCGTTCAACGATGTCCTAGCAGTCTCAATTTTCTGTCTCTTATGAACATTAAATGTGTTATTTTGCAGAAGCTTAATATTGATGAAATCATTGATAAATTTGGGTATATTTTGTTCTTGTTATTTATATATACCTTGAGGGTAGGGGGCTCCAAGTTGATCTGTGCCTCAAACCCCTATTAAGCTTAATCTGGCCCTGCACACCCTGACAATGGTGAAAAGCCTAGGAACAAGGTAGAGACACATAGTTCTAATGAGGACCTGGACCCTGTAGCAGATGGTATTAGTAGCAGTAGTGGGGAAGTCTCAGGGTGGATTTGCAGTTCATAGAAGTAAGAGAGCTATGGCAGGCAAACACTCCAATATGTTTAGGTTACCTAAATTGACAATGCAAAATATTTTGGTGCTATAGATTTAAGTTTCACATTGTTAGTTCCTATTTGTCAGTGCAATTTGTAAAGTTCCTCCTACCAACTGCTCAGTGCCTCAGAATGTTAGGTCAATTATTTTCTTTATTCCCCATGTGAGGTTTAAGTGGGGGCAGACATAGTATGAGGAACTCCAGAGACAACTATTTGGCGATTTAGTGTATTTTTTAATATGGATATGTATTTTTGTGTGTCCCGAGTAGGAAAAAAGTATATTTTGTGGATTCGAAATGGGGTTTGCTACCAGCAAAGGCAACTGGGCCCGGGGAAAAGACGCCACAGCAACAGGAGTGCACCAAGTATTTTTAGCTCTATTAGGGTGAATTTGATAGGTTGAGCATAATGAGTGTTATATGAAGAATGTGATGAACACGTGGAGGTAACTTGTAAGCCAGAACAAGGTTAATAAAGCATTGTTCTACAGACATTCACCCCTGAATGAGTCGGCGCCAAGCGTCCACCCCCTTGTTATGCTGGTGGGTTGGGTTTGTTATGTACTGTTTAGTTCCTACTAATGTGTTGTGCCAATATGTGATTATGACAACAGTTGATGCTTGTTTTGTATGTAGAATGTATAATGACTAGTTATGTCTGACCTAGGTCCCAGCCTTTCCTTCCTCAGGTGATTTCTAGAGTAAAATAAAGGAGAGAAATTTACATATATGTGTCCTATCCCTGCTATGGGAGCCCACTGATACTGATTTACCTTCCAGATTTATTCTGGAACCAATACATTCCCAGTGCTTGCCAACAGTGCATACTATGGTTTGGGAAAATATTGGAAGCATAATGTGTTGTTTATGTAGATCCTGCTGCTATATGGCATCACGAACTTTTTTACTGTCCCAGGTTGCTTATTTGATTGACTTTCTGCCTCGTTTACACACAATTGCAGGGTCTCAATTGTTTCTCTTACTTTGACAACATAACACATATATGTACTGTACCTGTTTATCATTTCTCACTCTTGAGCTGGGTTTCTCCCATTTCTTGATTTAACTATAGTTCCTGCCCCCACCCCTCCCTCCCCAATGTGAGTCAGTGACCTGTGCCCAGGTGGGCTAATCCCTGAAAAAAAATAGTGCGTAACAGATGTGAATGACTGCACAAGTGGTTAACAGGCCAATCAGTAGCAAAGAGGATAAAATAAGGTACAGTATTCATCAATTTGACATAGTAGTCAACCTGTAAGTTATGGCTTGCAGTATCAGCATATACTGTACCTAAGTTAGTTTTCCCAATTATTAACTGATTTTACCATACATAGCTTGTTTGTAGTTTATATTATTTTATTATATAATTAATTAAAGTGAATATCTAGCAGTTGTTCAGTGGTTTTGGAAATGCTATTACAGTACTGTAGTCCTATTGGACCATTCCTGTTCTCACAAAATTGCCTCATAGGTTACTGGATTAACCATACCAGGCTCTCTACTCAAATCAAAGACCAGCAAGTGATAGCTCTCAATTATATTTCAAGACTAACAGTATTTGTTTTTGATGAGACCCCAACCATTGATAGCCTGCTATCAGCCTTGATGATTGTAAAAGAACACCTGGAAAAGCAAACGGAACTGAGGGGCACCACAGGCCCAGTTCCTCAACCTGGTGGATGAACTTCATCACCTTATACTCTGTATGCTAAAGCTAGGTGAAGTCTCACAGGACATAAAAGATATATAGTACTGGCAGAGACCATCAATCTGCATAAAAATAATGGAAACTAAGGGCACTGCATGTTGCCCTCACGAATCTAATTAAACCAATTTGACCTAGTTAACTTAACTATTAAGAAGGACAACACAACAACCACACCCTAAGTTTACAAGTTGCATGACCCAGTGTCAAGAAACAGTCCGAGAAAACCAGACAACTCGCCAACTGCACTGGCTAACCATAACCCCAGAACATGATCCGCAAATCGATTAACATCCAGGTTCCCAATTACTGCTGGGTAGAGAGGCAAATGGCTTAAAGAAACTTGCCCATAGTTTCACCCTGCCTGGGGTTCAAACCAGGGTTTGCTCGCTTGCGAGGCAAGCATGCTGGCCATTACACCACAGGTTGCCACCTACACACACACTTACATTGTTGACACCTATACCTGCACTAACAACATTAACACCTACACACACACTTACACCATTGACACCCTTAAAAAATATTGTCACTACAAATACAATAAAACCTGTTCACCAACACTATAGAAGCCTGTCACTACTCAAACTATCAACACCTAAATGCCAACTATTATTATCACCAACCACTAACATTCAAACAACTACCACCACCACTCACACCAACAACCCCCCCACACACAAAACTGCTGTACTACCACTCTCACCAGCAATTTCCAAATAACAACTAATACCAGCACTCACTCCAACAACACTCATAAATACACTTACATAATCACTTTGTACACCGAGGAAAATTGATCTCCATTAATCTAATAATTTCACCCGTGAAAATAGAGGTTCTTTGTGCTGTTCTTCTGTTTTGAGTGTTTCCATCCTCAGGCACTTACAGTAGTATGTACAGTATTCAAAACTTTACTTGTTATACTATACATAGAAAGATGTAAAATCTTTGGAATATAAAACACATACCGGGGTAATTCATAAAAAAATTCAAAGAAATATTCATTATAGTACTAAAAATTCTAATACATTCTAGATAAATAATTCCCTTCAATTTAGTAAAAAAATGGTACAGTATTTCTATAAAATTTAACTTATTATATTAATAAAGAAATAAAACACTTTTGAACAATAATGACTCGTTGATACTGTACAAAATATATAAGGTGGATACAGTACAGTAGTCAAAACTGTAATTTGGTATATACTGTACCTACTATAGATTGCAACAATATACTTTAATAACCATTTAATTATTTTGGGGTAAAAAAAAACAAAAATCTAGAAACTTATAAGTGATTTTCTTTAATAGGGCAAATATTTTATGACACATGTCGTGTCCAGTATTTACAAAGAAGATATCAACTTGAATAAGAAAAATATAATAATAATTTAATAGTTCTTTTCTTACTTTTGCTGTTTACCGGTACAGTACTCCATTATACAAAACTAAATTCAAAGTGGGAATAACATACCATACATGCTGTTATGCCAAATAATTATAACTATGTCATAATATCTTCAACAGTGTAAAATGATGGTAGTTGTATCTCAATATCTTACACATTAATCAAATTAATTAACAGTAGTTCTATACACCTCAACCCGACACTTCACCACATGGCTCGCTGCACCCCAGACAACTTGTTGTAATCTGCTTCATGACGCCATACTATACGTGACAATCTCCATCTGTAAGAGAGAATTAATGATCAATAAAGGAGTATTCTTTGTGCAGCAATTCTGATGTAGTAATACCGTAAATATAAAGCCTAGAGGCCATGAATACTGCACACACTTCAATTTTGGGAACCAGTGATAAAAAATGAAACAGGAGTTAAGTGTATGTGGCTTAAATATTAATCCTCTTATCTCATTTTGTAAACAATTAAGGATAAGATAACTTGCATCCTGAATCAAGAAGATTATGGATTGATCCCCTTTGCTTCCAAACTTTTGTGATTGGGACTTTTATTCCTGAAATGCAGTAATAATTAAACAAATAGCAAACCCTCTAACACAATTGTAATCCTTTAACTCTGTAAGATCCAGCCATGTACTGTACAGTGTTGAATAAACTTTTCTTGTTCCAGTTTTAAAGTTGTTGAGTTATCATATACTACCAGGAGCGATACTTTACCCTTTTTGTCACAACTGTCACCAAAGTAAGAATAAAACACTATCTCATGATAATGATCTAAATGATCATACTCTTGGGGAAATATAATGGGACTCTCAAACTACTGATGAAGATTTTATTTTTATAAATGTATTGTGTTTTACTTCTTTTAATTTCATGAATGAATTATTCACTTGGTCAAAATTATGATTTTGAAAAAAAAAAAAAAAAAGTGGGGATAGGTTGCCACTTGGGGACAGATTAAAAACAGGTGGGGTACTGTAGCAACACAGTAACAAGCAGCCCTCTCCAATTATGTACAGTATTTAATCTTGTTATGGGTAGTCTCAGGGCATGGAGAAGGGGGGGGGGGGTGTTCTTGGAGGCTCGGAACGCCCCTTTCACCAGAAAATTCAACTTTTTCTTTAATGCAGTATTGTACTCAGGTCTTTTTGTATTATTCCTCGTTATCACTCATTTAGGATATTATTCCTCATTATCCCTCGTTTAGCATTAATTTCACTTACCGGTATTGTTGGGTTTTTCGGGCAGCCTTGCTAAGGCTACAAGATTACTGTACATACATGACACTTAAAGTAATTCGCTACACCTCTTGTGTACCCACCTTCTACATTCACTGCACATTACTGAGTTGCTGTTGACACCTTTCTTAGAGACAGCACATGACCATTTTTCATTTTCCACCACATATCCCTCACCCATGCCACAAATCAATTCCTCCGTTTTTGCCGCATTCACTTCCAGACCCTCCAATTGTTAAATTTCTCCACTGCCCCTACAATACTCTCAACTATCAGCGCCAAGTCATTAGCAATAAAAGTGGAAAATACAATTTAGTAAACTCATTCAAAATTATGTTGTAGCTACACAACAAGTTTGGTTACTACCATATATACTCGAGTATAAACCGATCTCATATACAGCTCGACCCCTGATTTTTTTGTAAAAAATCCCGAGTTTTTCATGATATGTATCTCTGGAATAATTTGACCCTAGCTTTTGAGAAATACAAGGTATAATGCTAGACATAATTTGTAGCATGACACCATGCTACAGTATACGGTATTTGTTTAGACTGCTGTACAGTTCAGTACTTGTGTAAACTAACTGAAAACACACAAAGACATGTATGCAGTTTCACACAGATGCCCTTCATTTTCAAGTCTCCTTCTTAACAGAGAGGAAGGGGACAAAATAACTGACAGCTACATGGAACATTGCAGGTTTTATTATGATAAATTAAGCTTCATTGTGAACCTAACATAAGAACCATCTAAGGAGGTAGAAGAACTTCCTTTACTTTTCCTAAAATAAAACTTCCACATGTTCTATATTCACAACAAATAAAACAAGTTAACTGCACAGAACTACAGTATCAAGAAGAGCTCACCTGGTAACAAGCCCACGGGGTCTGGAGGTCAGCATACACCGTTTATGTAGCTGAGAGATACTAGAATTACGAGGCAGCGCAGCTATCTCTTTGTCGGCTATTTCCTGTTGAGGTGAAATTTATCAATCTTTGTCCTAGGAAATGATAGAATAAGGAAAGGAAAACATGGACATTTGAGGTCGTGGAAAATGCTAATCAAATACACTATGGTACAGTACTGAAGTACAGTACTGCATGTGTTCTTTGACCAAATAACTTTAAAGATACTACAGTAAATACGACCCTAATTTTTATGAAAATTAATATTTCCTGAGAAACATCCACATGATAAAAAAATAAATAAAAGAAAGAACCTAAGATAATAGAGACAGTGATAGGAAGATTTGAGATTAAACTCCCATTTTATGACTGAGGGAATGAAACATTTAACCTGTGCCATTTCTCTATGATTGCAATAGAAAGGTACTGTCTGTATGGCCAGTCTTTTAAAACCTACAGTAGATGCTCAGCAGTCTTATCCAAGGAGTGAGGTCAGAAGTCTCTAATTTCCATGATTCACGAGATCAACTCAACTGTGTGGGATTCTGTGCTCCACCATCTTCAGCTCTGTGCTGATTTAGTACTTCTCTCTGGACCAGGGAGAAATCTGTTATTTTTGTGTTCCGTCCCTTATAAATTAAGAAATTTTGAGCCCCAGTCCTCCATTTATAGTTATAGGACCTTATGAGTGACTTCTGAGACCAAAGCCAGAGGTTATGTGAACAGCAAATGTCTTGAATGCATCTTAAACTAGACAGCAGACTCCTTAATAATAATGAAAAAATAAATAAGGAACCAGTTTTGTGCACTTCCCAGAACCACACAATCAACATCAAGAAGCTCTTCAGTTAGATATATTAATACAAAAACTTCAGTGGATGACCTTATTCCCGAGTGAAATTGATAGATACTTCCTCTCAAGAATGTTTATGATGTGACAAAGTTATTTTGGGTCTGTGTGTTAGCTTGTGCCATAACCCCCTCTTCCTCATTACCCTGATTATTTCTAACTCATCAAATCTGAATTTCATAATCCAGGTCAGAACCCCTTCCCCCATACACATAAATCCCCCAAAATTTAAGACTGCTGACTGGTAGGATTCTTGAGACTATACAATATTTTTTAATGTGTTTCCAGATTTCCTCATTTATCAACACCGCCATTTCTATTTTTGCTCAAAGAGTAAAGTAACCGTCAACTGAAAATCTACTTTATGAAATAATTTACAGCGAGTCCTCAACCTAACGTACTATACTGGGGCTTGTAGTCCATTATATTGAAGTTCATTAGATGAAAAACTTCCATACAGTACAGTACAATATAACATAATATGAGGGAGAGTACAATCCATTATATCGAGGTGAGTTATATATGATCTCCATATAATGAACTATACCCGTTATAGTGATGTCTGTTAAATGGAGGTTTTACTGTATTTTACGAAAGATCTAAACATTCTAAATATGCAACTTTAAGAATACAGTAGTATATAAATTAACATTATTTAATTTAATTTTACACATATTAAATGAGAGTAAAAGAGGAAAAATTGGACAATTAGGCAACTGAGTGAGTGACTGTGTGCATGGTGCTGTGAGTCAAGAGTTGGAGCATGATGCAATATGTCGGAACCCCTGAAAAAATTTTCTCATGCCGGGAATGGAGAGAGTTTTCCTGGAATTCTCAGAATTCCTTCTGGCTATCAGAGATTTGGGCTACTGAGGAGATTATTGTACTTCATAAAGTAGACAAGCATCAAATAAATGCTTGAGCACATATTCAGTGAAACCTGTGAATGTCAACTCCTTCCATTTTTTCTTTTTATAAAACCCTTTAAAGAGGACTATGTTTAGCAATAACATGGCCAGAGTGCAGGACTCTATGTACTGTATGCAGTATATTAAACTTAAGAAATAGGGACAGCTTTGATAAATCCTTACAGTACTGTACAGTCTACTGTACGTATTCTAAATCATTCTAGAATACTGTTAGTAATATCAAACCTTAATTGCAGGTGGAATGATCTTGTTCTTCCTGAGAGCATTAACGTTGATCCTTTCAAAGGCAAAGTCCTTCACAGCTTTCCGATTCTTAACCTCCTTAATCATTTTCCAATTTGGATATTTGCAAGCCACACTGGTTGTATGTAAGCTGCATGTTGGTAACTGAAAAACATGAGGAATTTATAATAAAACCAAAGAAAATATTAAGTAAGGTACCAAACTGTAGATTAAAATACATTTTACTGTAAGTACTTTAAGTTAGATGGATTTGGAAATGTTTTTAGCTTGCAAAACCCATAGCCAGTACAGGCTAGAGAGTGGGATGCTCACTTTCTTGGAAAACACCTGGTTAATCAGCCTGAGTATTTTATCAACCCTGAGGGTATATCAACCCTCCCCAGCCCATCAGCCCAAAATAGGGGTATACAGTGCCACAGTTGTCCTCCAGAAACAGGAGGCCTAATTAAAGCTGTCTGACTAATCAGTGTATTTTGTATCAAACCTATGATTCCTGGATCTATTTTTGGTGTAATCCACCACTCAGGATTCAAATCCTACCTGATTAAGCCACAAAACCTAGGGAGAAGGAAGGGAATCCATGCTGCCTGGCTACTGGCTCAACCAGAAAAAGGGACTGCAAGTTCAATCCAACATTTCTGGTTGACACCTTCCACCATGCAACTTCTTGTAATCTGAAGGCAACTAGTAAAGAGGGTGGTGGATGAAGTACTGTACATGTACTATAAAAAGCTCTACAATCAGTTCAACAAACTGAAAACTCAATTGAAAATTGTATCTTACAGTATTTTTATACTCTGAATAACCTTGAAGAATAATTCTGAATAAAAGCAAGTGACAATTTATGGAAGACCATTAAACCAAATTAAGGTGACTCCATACATTTTGAACTAAAGAAAAGTCATCCATCTTATAAACCCCCTATAGGGAAAACAGTATCTCTTGATTCCTAACCAAGTAACCAGGAAGTCTCTTTGTCAACTGCAAGAGGCTAACCATCATCATCAACTTTTTAATGCAAGGGGAACCATTTTTCAAGCTTGCATTGGTTAGCAGTGATTACCTGATAACAGCTCTCCCTGCTGCATGGCTTCTTGCAGCCTCTCTTGTCAGGTTCTTAACTCTAATGTCATTTCTCACAACCTCTCCCAATGTCATTCTTGTCTCACCTGCCTTTTGACTCCTGCACCTCTTAACTCAATTGGTCAGTCCCAACCCCCTTCCCTTGTTTTCTCCTGAATTAATGGAATCGAGAGACCAAACCCCCCTTTCCATTTTCCCCAATCTGGCTACGGTAGTTCTTTTGAAAGGAGTTCTACCAGCCAAAATATGAAGTAATGAATATTTCAAAGTTATAGAAATCATAGCCTTTTAAATAGCCAATATTATGGTAATGGTAGCTATGTCATAATAAGCAATTTTCAAAATTCGGCTATTTTATTTACAACTATTTAGTATTTCTTAAAAATTTATAAAAACTTAAGAGCCACAGTTACAAAATAGGATACACAACATATAGTATTGGTTCATCTGTACCTGTTGTATTATAAGTTGGACTGGCAAAAATGTACAGTTACAGGAAGCACCTTACCCAATGAGTGTACAGTGCTTGGGCTTGTAATCATGTTCTAATCTTCCAAAGGTAGATTATACATGACGAGAATGATAAATGATGCAAAATAAACAGGGATTAAAGATGCAAATGTGTACTGATGCAAGAAGAAAGTGTTCAAAATACTACATACACTATTTCCTTTGACTGGGGCTAGAACAGTCCCAAAGCACCTAACTTAACCTAACCATATTGGCCCATCTCCACTTACCTTTACCTCAATAAAAAAATTTCCATCTTGCCATATACCGTATAATGATATAGAAGTGGCTATTGAGCCGGGTCAGACAATAAAATGGCCTACAGCTGTATATATCAGTGGTGTTTATTATTTTGATCGACGATATACCATACCTAACCTAAATAGCCTACAGATGTACACAGCGGGATTGTTTAGTGCTTTTATCAACACTATACTGAACCTAACCTTGAGTCAGGCCAGGAAATGACCTGACTTCCCTCAAGGACAAGTAAAATAGGTTAGGTTAGGTCAGGATAGGTTAGGTTGGGTAGGTTAGGTTGGATATGTAAATCCAGGGATACCCAACCGAAACTAAAATTTTACCTACCATATCAAGCACATCACTACCATTATTTTGCCACAGTTTCCTGTATACTGGGTTCAAGACACTTGTACTAACCTAGCCAACCAAAAGCAACATTAATTCATAAGTCTGGTAAAGGTTAGTAATCCTAGTAAGATATTGACGTTCAGATGAATACTATGTTACAATGAAGAATATTATATGTTGGGTCTCTGTGTGTGGGCAAGGAGCTAATCACCTAGATAGCACTTGGGTAAGTAACATAGGAAAATGCATATGTGTAAGTAAGATTCCAACAAATTAATCTGTTTATTGGATACCATCATTTGAGATTTATAGACTACTGTCAACTGTCATATACGGGTCCGACTAATTACCCAAATGTAGCCGCAATGAAGTCAAATAATGGTCCTACATGAATAAATCGGACTGCTAATCACTTCTCGATTATTATTTGGTGTCATAAAGTCACAAAAAATTGGTAAACTTAATTTAATCTGAGTTAATAGATCGAGTGCATGTACCTAACCTAACCTAACCTAACACAACACAACTCAGATTAAATTAAGTTTACCAATTTTTTGTGACTTTATGACACCAAATAATAATCGAGAAGTGATTAGCAGTCCGATTTATTCATGTAGGACCATTATTTGACTTCATTGCGGCTACATTTTGCTACATTTGGGTAATTAATCGGACCGGTCATGTCATTATACATTTAAAGTAACTTTCATGATTTGTTGATAAGTGAGACAACATGATTTACACCATAATAATTACATCTTCTACTAATTAACCAATATTCCGTAATACTCTAGCTTACAGATTAGAAACATAGAACTTAATGACATTATCTTTACCTCCAAATAAACCTTTAACAGTTTACTTGATGGCGAGTGTCTACCCAAATCTATTTTCGACAGTGGTGGCCTCGTGTCACTCAGTCTTATAATGCCATATGTGGTAATTTCACCCTATATAATAAAAGCCATAACGTACTTTAAACATATTAACTCCATCTGAATTATTACCTGTAGTAAACAACCTGAAGTGTGAGGTATTTTGTTGATCAGTTTGATGGTAAACAAACTGGACAAGGAAGCGGCCATGTTGGATGTCGCCTGCTGCGGCTGTTCCTCGCTCGCCGGACTAAAAATATACTATTATTTCTTTTAATAGACCCACATGGCATATCAGTATATATTAATAACTATATGTACAATTATAAAATAAATTTCTGTATTATAGTATTTGTTTTTTTTTCTTAAACATTACTTTTAGAATGGTAAATTGCCTTTGGAAGCCTCATTAAATGGGGAGGAGGAGGGGGGGTAATAGCCGGACCCTCTAATGCGTGAAGGCAATATCCCAGAGCTCGGACCTGTCATCTGCCTCTCTCTGCCAAGCCGGCGACCAGGTACGACTGCTTTAGTCCACCGCACCAACTTGTTAAACAAAAGTGGATCATCCGCTTACTGTGTCTGTGAAGTGTGGTATTTGTACTTTAGAAATGTGCAAGTTCCGTTAAATGTCATTCTGCTCTTATGAAATTATGTAGACTTGCAACATGGTCGATGGCAAGCCGGAAGTCAAACAGATCAATCCAAGGCGATAATTCGTAAAATCAACTAAAGATCTATTGGGATAATTATGATTATTATAACGAAACGGATATACCTATTCCTAAGAAAATAAATAATCCTGTTCTCGCTTCATATTGCCGGCTTTCCCGCCAAGGTGACCTGGCGATGTGAGTGAAGCATTGGGCTACGTCGCCACTGTACCTATATCTTTCAATATTGTTATGTTGATAAATCGTAGAAGAATAAAATTGTAAATCTTTTGAAATAAGTAGTAATGTATATGTAAATGGCTCTAAAGTGCCTTGAATCGAAGAAAAATCGAGGGAGTGAAATTTCTGAGTTGCGTAGCCAAATACGACAATCATTCAACGACAAAATTAGAAATGGTAACACCACAATAAAAAAATTATTTTTTAATCAAAACATATATGCAACTTGTGAGGTGAAATGAAAGCTCAAACGTCAGAAAATAATGGGTCCGTGACACTGGGCAAGGTTTAACCGAACAACCGCTAGTCATCCTGAAGAAGGTAGGACTAGATTTAAGCTTTGTTGGCAGCTGGGGTAGATATGACGGCAAACTGGTGGCTAGAGCAATGACTCTGGCCAGGCCCTGTGTGAGAGCCTGTGCTCCTGGTGATATTTTTAGCGATGAAAAGTCAGAGTTAGGTGCCAAGGAAGCAGCAGTTTCCTCGCCACTCTCTTGTTACACATGCTCCTTCTGAGTCCCACTTGAACATTTTTTCTTTTATTTTCTCCTTCCCGTCATCGATTTCCCAAGGACTTTCTACACACCCATTATTCTCTTTTCTTTTTCTCCATTAATTCCCAGTCACTCGTTTCATTCTTTAAATACTTCCCTTTAATTACGCATTTTTTGTTTTTCGTTGCTTTGTTGACCACTGATATGTCCATATAATTTATATTCTTGACAAACATCTATGCAAACGTTATGTTCAAAAGTAATCTCGTATTATATAGTTAAATCCCCCATTTCTAGTTTATTTTTTAAGTATGTTTTTGTAATTATCAAGCGAGCGTATTATTTAATCTTCCTCTGACTCCAACCTCCCCTATTGCTTCTAACGCTTCCTAGCATCTCTATTTCTCTTTACCTATCGCCGGTTCTTTAATGTTTTCTGTTCTCTTGCATTTTGTTATCCTATTATGTTGGGTGGCAATGCTTAATTGGAAAACTGAGTCTTTTTTTGTGTTTTTCACAAAATCTTATTCTGCTGAACCAACCCCCCCAAAAAATGTGCTTCGTATTGTGTTTTTGTTTCCAAATTTCGTGTCAGTGAAGTGTTGCCAGTAGGCTGTTATTCTCTTCCTAATATACATATATATATATATATATATATATATATATATATATATATATATATATATATATATATATATATATATATATATATATATATATATGTGTGTGTGTGTGTGTGTGTGTGTGTGTGTGTGTGTGTGTGGATTTCAATAACTTTTCTGTCCTGAAAGGAATGCCTAGGTTTGTGTGTTGAGACTTTGGTAAAGGTGGATAGTTCTCGAGTGTGCTCAAAGCTTCTGATATCGACGAGTACCGGTTTACGTGTTAGTTCGCAATGCCCAAAACCTATGCACTATCTCTCAACACGTACTGTTTAGTTTCTAGTCATACAGGTATATGTAATTTGAGGTTTAGTGGAATTTCAGTATGGTGCATAAATATAGAGGACTTTCATATATATGTCATTAAATATTCTAAGTATTTCAAGTCCGGATTCTTAACGAGTCTTACGGCAAGTTTATTTTTCCGTCACTGGGATTGAGGGATGTAAAAATTGTCGTCTCTCTTTTGACGACAGTACATTACGGGTGGCGATAATGACGTTCAGGTACTACGATTGAACTTTAACTTTAAGCTGGATATGTTCTTTTACACCCGGTGGCGAGGTACGAAATTAACGTACGACTCATTTCAGAATGGTGTAGTGTATGTAGCAATCGGGGTGGGCCGGGCGGTAGATGATCGACCCAGGAGGCAACAAGTGACAGGCAGAGAGCGCGGGCAACGCAATTTTTGGTCTGTACATTATTAGTGTGCGTGATGATGCTTACGTAATCCCAGGAGAGGTGTCACAACCTGAATTGAATAAATAAAACCCAATAGTTGTCAAAGTTCTGTGTTCATATGCTTTGTTTTTTATTGTATTATCTGCCAAACATTTTGAGCTATCACTTACAGATTCTCACTTTAGGATGCACTTGGTCATCATCCTCTTAGAGACTTTTGTTTTGGATTATTGTGATCTGTCCAAGGCCAAGGTCAAGGCCACCGGCACGGTTTCACGCCTTCAAGCGGAGGGTCACAGGGTACACCCGGGTCCAGATGTTTCGGGAATCACCGCGTCGATTTTTCCCTGTGTGACCCATTCTCACTGCACAAGTCAAGGCCATAAGATCAGAGGTCCTCCATGTGTCACTAAGCTACCATCATCAACAATTTTAGGTTGAGTTCATTCATCGCGTACAAACTTTTTGATAATTTACGATGAATTTCGTTAAGTTCTGCTATTTTGAACCTGGAAAAGCTAACCTTGTAACATTAAACGCCTCAAGTACTAACACGCGCCAGCGATAAAGACCACACTGTTCGGTCTCGCATCGTTTTCAGCATCCTTACATTCTCTCCTTGCCAGGATTTTCGTATAAACCATAAAGCACACTCTTAGAATGATCACATCTCAGAACTTGTTAAAATACCTCTAAATAGCGTGAATATTTTTTTTATATTGTCATTAACTTTCTGTTTGACAGAAACCATTTCCACCCTCCCTTGTCATACTGCCTCTCACGTTTAGAGGTACTGTACTGTACTCTACATCCTAATCCCACATAGCACTTCCTTAGCGCTAAATCCAGTTCACGATCTCATGCTTTACTACTTATCCAAACTCTCTTCCTTCCCTAAAGTCTAGCATCAAGTTTTACCCCCTTTAATATCTTAACATAACTTTAATGGTCAATATTATGATGAAAATCAAATCAACATCTTTCATCTGTTCCAAAGCAGACGCCCCATTCCTTATTCCACCTGGCGGGGAGGCAGATCCAGATCGTCCTACACAATAACAAAGGTATTCTGAACCATCTGATGACTTACATGTATGTTCAGCCCACTAAAAATGTACGTCCGCTCTTTATTATGAACTATGAACCCATAATCGACCTGTCATAAAGTTACAGGTCTCGTGCAGTTGTAGGTCTGGAGGCAGGACTGAAAATCTCTGAATTGAACTCATTTTGTCACCTCAGCATGACGCCCCTCCCCCAACCCTTATCTCGCTGGAGGGCCTCGTGTACCATTCTCACCTCATGAAATGCATTATTTGTCAGGAAATTTTAATGACTGAATACAGGAGTTGAATTCCAGTTCATGAACAATATAATTATTTGTTGTCACTGACGTGTAAAAATATGTAGGTTATAACGAGAAAATATACATTTCGGGTCTTTGGTATACTGTATACTGACTACAGTATAAATTATCCTGTACGTCCACACGCACGCTGCCCGCGTCGATCTTCGATTGCAAGGTTGCGATTTCGAGACACGGCAAGGTTGGTGTCGACTTGGCTGCTCACGGCTGACTCCACCCAAGTATTAAAGGGGAGTTGCTGGTCCGGGAATGTGGATCGCAGACCTCAGTTACAGTGGTCTGGAGTATTAAGGGTACAGGTGGCTATCTCGTCCCTGTGGGCAGCGTTACCTTGACGCCCAAGACACCCATCTTCACGGAAATTCTTTGTTCTTCGTTACTGTCAAAGATCAAGGTAACTCACACGAGGAATGAAAACATTTATTGATTTATTTAATCATTTATGTCTATTTATTATGATTATCATCACTGATCAAGCGTTACTGGGATACAGATAACAGCCACTAAACAAGAAATGCCCTGTGTCTCGCGGTTTATAACGACTGAGCTATTATTGACATGACGGTAACATTTTACTAATACAGTATTTTAAAATAGACTCGTCTCCCAGGATTTCAAGTAGTTGAAAAGCACGGTGCACCCAACAGTAAATACTTAATTTTTCTGTACCCTAAATTCAGTCCCTTTTATACCATCAATCGTGTTACTCACATACCTTGTGTCTCAACTTACATTGCTGTGTTGCTGTGCGATGAACACGCAGTACAAGCTGCTCACATACGACACTCTTTACTGAAGCTCTACAATATAGTTTACACTTAGGCGAAGTATGTAAATCTTTTTTGTTTTTCTTTGTGGGGAATAGCCCACCCGGGTACAGATCATCGACCCTCAACGGGGCCTGGGGGGATAAGAGTAAACTAATACAAATTAGAGGAGAAAGATTATGTTAATCTACACCACGATGCCGGAAAATCAGCTTTTTGAAGTGAGACAGATTGTAAGAGGATGGAAACTCAGAAGAAGGCAAAGCATTCCACAGTTTGGCTGTGTGAGGAAAGAATCCTGGAGGATAGCGAATGTGATACCGATTTTCAAGAAGGGAGATGGATCACTATCCTCAAACTACAGTCCAATTAGTTTAACATCAATTGTAGGCAAATTACTGGAAGCAATAATTTTAAACTCTATTCGAAATCACCTCGAGAAGCACAAGTTGATCAATGATTCTCAGCAGCCAGCATGGCTTCACAAGTGGACTTTCATGTCTGACAAATCTATTATCTTTCGTTTCTACTGTTTTTGAATCAGTGGATGACGGACACGATTATGATGTGATTTACTTCGACTTTAGCAAAGCCTTCGACAGAGTCCCCCATGAAAGACCAATACGTAAAGCGGAGGCACATGGAATTGGAGATGTTCTAAACTGGATTAGGGCGTGGTTACTGGACAGGAAACAGAGAGCCAGCATAAGTGGCACTAAATCCGATTGGGGCAACATCACTAGTGGAGTACCCCAAGACTCGGTACTTGGATCATTACTATTTATTATATACATAAACGACAGATATAGGCGTAGACAGCAACTTAAGTAAACTTGCTGACGACACTAAAACAGGGCGTGTAATCAAATCTGACGAGGACTCCACAAAATTCGTCACGATCTCCAAGAGTGGCTTGAGGTGACTTCCATGTCTGGAGTACTGTCACCCCATCTGGTCCCCGAGGTATGCTAGAGACTACCAATTGATTGACAATTTTCAAAGGTGGGCCACCAGACTGGTGCCTGCTCTACGGAATCTCAGCTTCCCAGAGAGATTAGAACGCCTGCAACTGCCTAGCTTATAGTATACTACAGACGGGCAAGGGGCGACCTAATCGAAGTGTATAAACATCTCGGGGGGGCACTACTCAGTCAAATGTACATACCTGGAGCTGGGCACGCCCGTCCCACAAGGGGTCACAGCTCAAGGTTGAAGAAGCCACAAGCCCAGTAAACAGTGAGGGCAATTTTTTCGGAGTGAGAATTGTGAACTCTTGGAGCAATCTGCCAGAGAGTGTTGTGAGGGCACCAAGTGTGAGCTCATTCAAGGCCAGACTTGACCAACACTGGAGCAGGTTTCGATATATTCAGGAGCGAGTTCATGCCCAGTACTTGCGAACAGTCCGTAACAGAGACGTGACCGACTGCCCAAGTGGTTAACAAGCCGATCAATGGCGACAATGGCGAAGAGGATATCGAAACGAAACGAATACAAGAAGATCTAAACAAATTTTTCGCATGATCTGAAAAGGGCAGATGTAATTTACTGTGGACAGATGCAAAGTACTTAGCCTTGGAGATGTAAATAGAGAAACCAGATATCAGATGAACAACGTTGATATAGAGGAATCCAACTGTGAGAAAGGAATTTTAAACCTAGACAACAATGCGTGTTTGCTTGAAACAAGGCTAACAAAGTACTTGGGTTCATACAAAGAATGTGAGTTACAAGACTAACGAGGTTATCCTAAAACTATATCTTACGCGTGTGAAACCTCACTTCAGTTCAGTTTTGGTCACCGTACTACAAAACGGATATCGAATCGCTAGAAAGCGTACAGAGGAAGATGACAAAACTTATCTTGGACATTAGGAACCTTGAGTACAGAGACAGATTAAAGCATCTGAATTTGCACTTCTTTGAGAGACGTAGAGTGAGGGGCGATATGAATGAGGTGTATAAATGGAAGTCAGGGTTTAAAAAGGTGATAATAACAAAGGTACTGAAATTATCCAACCAGGAGCGAACTCTTAGCAATGGTTTTATATTAGACATATTTAGATTTAAGCGCGAGATAGGTAAACACTGGTTTGGAAATAGAGTAGTGGATGAGTGGAAGTTACCAAACATGATCATTAACTCGAACACGCTGGACAGCTTTAAATATTGGCTAGACGGCTATATGAGCAATAGGGGTTGGGTGTAAACGGGACTGCCCAGTATGGGCCAATAGGCCCGCTGTAGTTTCCTTCATTCTTATGTTCTTAAATAAAAGTCACTCAGAGGCAACAAGAAAATTCGTGTAACACTAGTCTGAGGTCGACTTGAAGTGTACACTGCAATCACGATAGATAATTACCAGTGATTGTGGTGAACGCTCCTATGATGGTATGACCTTGAGTGTACATACACAACTACCTACTCACCTGGGTCTAATGTTTGGAAATTAACACAATGTACAGCAGTTTCATTTGGTTGTTATTTTTTTCTGATCGTGAGTTGCACCTGAAAATAAATGTAGGTGTAACTCACGATCAGATATACAAACCGAGTCGAAACTGCTGTATATTGTTCATTTCGAAACACATCGGATCCGGGTGGGCAGATAGGTTTTTCTGTGTGTGTATACACGCACACGGAACAGGTATCAATTGAATGGTGAACACCAGTAAATTGTAAGACCAAGGCTGAGTTTCAAAGACATCATGAAGTGTGACTACCGTGTTCTTATAAATCATCCATTTTATATTGGGTTTCATTTAAGAGCTCTAATCTGATTCCTCAGGCGACAATTAGGGTGGCTTAAGAAAATTATCATTACATGGCGGATAAAAGCTGGAAGTTTGGCATGAAGAGTCCTTGGGAGATGCCTATGTATTTTAGCCTAGGAGCCACTTACAATTTTACCCACAATTCCCTTGGCTTACGAAAATCCAATATGGCCGCCAATTAACTGGACCTTTCTTGTACATTTACTAATATTTATTATATGAGGCAAAGTTTCAATGTATAGTTGCATTTTTTAGTATTATTTAGTATATTTAGTATGCATGTTTAAGTATATTTGCTTACTCCTGTTTTTTTGCGCTGGATCATGTGAATTACCCCAGATGGGTGTCTATTCATATCAAAGACATGAAGTCATTGCCTCGTTCCATCAAGGACCAGTTCCTCACTATGTCCCACTGGGTCATTCCCAAGACCATGAACAAGTTAACCGTCATTACTCTAGACCAAGCCCACGAACAAAAAAACAAATTTGTCAAGTCTTCAGGTGGATATAATGGGCTCATGGATAACCTTTATTCTTTCAAACGCTGGGTGGTTTCGGGGCCAGAGCCCTCTAGACTGATTAAGCAGTTTGAGGGTGACTACTTACCTGATGATGATCCCGGGAGCCCCCAAAACTTTAAACATCATGTACAGGGATTGTCCAGTCAGATGACATTTAAAATGAAGGTGAACAGCCTCTCCAACACCATGAGGAAAATGGGAAATCCTTTCCTAACAGCCTTTTGAGCTGATAACTCAACCTAAAAATGAGGCTAAGCCACCCTATTATAACAATTTGTCCATTTTCCAAATATATCATTTTAATAGTTTCACACACACACACACATATATATATATATATATATATATATATATATATATATATATATATATATATATATATATATATATATATATATATATATATAAAAACAAAGCGAAATGATTCCATATACCTAGATCATGCTACAGTGCATTTGTATATATATATATATATATATATATATATATATATATATATATATATATATATATATATATATATATATATATATATATATATATATATATATATATATATATATATATATATAATTATTTGTTGAATTGTCTTTTTTTTTATTCGATTCTAATATTTATTTTTCTTTCAGTTCGTAAGCTTTGGTGAACCAAGCCCCAGCCATGGGTAAGGAGAAGGTCCACATAAACATCGTGGTGGTGGGTCACGTAGACTCTGGTAAATCCACCACCACTGGCCACCTGATTTACAAATGCGGTGGTATTGACAAGCGTACCATTGAGAAGTTCGAGAAAGAGTCCACTGAGATGGGCAAAGGCTCCTTCAAGTATGCTTGGGTGCTGGATAAGCTGAAGGCCGAACGTGAGCGTGGTATCACCATCGACATTGCACTCTGGAAGTTCGAGACAAAGAGGTTCTATGTTACTATCATCGACGCCCCTGGTCATCGTGATTTCATCAAGAATATGATCACGGGAACATCCCAGGCAGATTGTGCTGTCCTGATAGTTGCTGCCGGAACTGGAGAGTTCGAAGCTGGTATCTCAAAGCACGGACAGACCCGTGAACACGTGCTGCTGTGCTTCACCCTAGGTGTCAAGCAACTCATTGTTGCTGTCAACAAGATGGACAGCACAGAGCCAAAGTTCTCTGAGTCTCGTTTTGAGGAAATCAAAAAGGAAGTAGGAAATTATGTGAAGAAGGTTGGCTACAACCCTGCAATTGTTCCCATTCTTCCTATTTCTGGCTTTAATGGTGACAACATGTTGGAGACATCAGATAATATGCCCTGGTGGAAGTCAAAGAAGATAGAGCGCAAGAACGGCTCCTACGAGTACACCACATTGTTCGACGCTCTTGACAACATTGATCCCCCATCCCGGCCCATGGAGAAGCCCCTGCGTCTTCCCCTCCAGGTATGAACATAGTCTCTGTTGTCTCCCTCAGACAAATACAGTATTAAAATAGTATTAGTTATTCCCAACAAACAAGTTAATGTCACCTTTTCCTTACAAGCTATATCATTCACTAAATCACCTCATCACTCTTCAGAGCAGCAACTTCAATCTAACACTGTACCTATCATTCTGTAAGTTACTTCTTTTTTAGGCTTGTTTTAAAGTAAAATATTTCCAGGTCATTTAGATAATAAAATTTGGATAATTTCCAGTTTTCAGTCAAGCTGTCATCTCTTTTTCTCTTTTATCCTCTTCACCACTGATCGGCTCATTAGCTGCTGAGGCAGTCTGTCACTTCTCTGTTACGCACTGTTGGCAAGTACTGGGCATACACTGGCTCCTGAATGTACCTGAACCTGCTCCAGTGTTGGTCAAGTCTGGTCTAGAGAAAGAGCTCACACTCGGTGGGTTACAACACTGGCAGGTTGTTCCAAGAGTTCACAATTCTCACTCCAAAAAAGTTTCCCCTCACAGTTTTTGCACGGTCTGAAAAATGGCAGATGAAATTTAATGTGGACAAATTTAAAGTACTTAGTCTAGGAGATGTAAACAGAGAAACCAGATATCAGATGAACAACGTTGTTATAGAGAAATCTGACCGTGAGAAAGATTTAGGAGTACAGTAATGATAAGTAGGAATCTTAAACCAAGACAACAATGCATATTTGCTGGAAACATGGCTAACTTGGGTTCATACAAAGCGTGTTAGTAATAAGACTAGCGAGGTTATCGTAAAACTATATCTTGCGCTTGTGAGACCTCACTTTGATTAAGCGGTTCAGTTTTGGTCACCGTACTACAGAATGGATATAGAATCCCTAGAAAGCATTTAGAAGCACTGGTTCCCAAACTGCCCAGCAAAATTTAGGGGGCCATGAGCTGAGGCTATGTACACATAAAAATCCCAAGCCCCACCACACTAGAACAGCCAGTCAGCAGCTGAGCCAGCCAGAGATATGGATTGGGAGAGGGGGGCCATGGATAAGGATCATATATGAAAAGTGGGTAATGATCAGAAAAAGTTTGGGAACCACTGAATTTTAGAGAATGATGGCAAGACTAATCCAAGGCATTAGGAACCTTGAGTATAGAGACATTAATTTACACTCAAGAGAGAAGTAAAGTAAGAGATTATATGTCGAGATGTATAAATGGAAGCCAGGGTTAAACAAAGGTGATATAACAAAGGTACTCAAACTATCCAACCAGGAGCGAACTCGTAGCAATGGTTCTAAATAAGACAAATTTAGATTTAGGCGCGAAATAGAGTAATGGACGAGTGGAACAAGTTACCGAACTTTATAATTAACTGAAACATGCTGGATAGCTTCAAATATAGATTTGACGGATATAAGAGCGATAGGGGTTTGGTGTAAACAGGGCTGCTTACTATGGGCCAATAGACCCACTGCAGTTTTCTCCATTCATACTTTCTTATGTTCTTACACCCAGAAAACTGTAAGGGCAGACTTTTTTGAAGTGAGAATTGTGAACTCTTGGAACAAGCTGCCTGAGAGTGTTGTGACGGCACTGAATGTGAGCTGCTTTCAAGACCAGACTTGACCAACACTGGACCAGGTTCAGCTACATTCAGGAGTCAGTGCATGCCTAGTACTTGCTAACAGTGCGTAACACATGTGACCGACCGCCCAAGTGGCTAATGAGCCGATCGTTGGCAAAGAGGATAAAAGTAAAGCAAAAGTAAAAAGTAATGACAAGAATTGAGATAGTTAAAGAGTCCCATATAGTTGGTAGAGTTGGAAGAACAGCAAAGGAAACAAAGAAAAAAAAATAGTCATAGTTGGTAGAGATATTTTAGCCAGATGAAATCATAAAGAGAAGATTCAAGATCTGTGAGTCGAGCAATAGGTGTATTTGGTCGCATATGTAAAAATAGTCTATTTAGACCATGTGGGGTACTATATCACGGAGGTGAAATATCCCGACACTGGCCAACTTCGTCAGGATTAGTTCACCTAATGCATTACTTATTTCATCAAATGCAACCATTGATATAGTGTTTGTGCAATTTGAGACAAAATGCTTTGGTACTGGATATGTGTATGCTTAATTATCAGTGGTATGATTCTTTTATTTTTATATCTGGTTCAATTTTAAAATTTTCATTGTCATGGCTGGTCTTAAAGAATAACAGAGCCATTGACTTGCTAAACTTATGCAGTGTATTATGAAGGCAAAAGTATTTCAACTGCTTCTTAGTTTGATATACATTCTGAATCATCCAGTATTTTAAACACAGTGCAGTAATAACTAAACTTCACTTTATCCACAGGATGTCTACAAAATTGGTGGCATTGGAACGGTACCTGTGGGTCGTGTTGAGACTGGTATACTTAAGCCCGGCATGGTAATTACCTTCGCCCCCACTGGCCCCACCACTGAGGTGAAGTCTGTAGAGATGCACCACGAAGCCCTGATTGAAGCTGTACCCGGCGACAACGTTGGCTTCAACGTAAAGAACGTGTCCGTTAAAGACCTGAAGCGTGGTTTTGTGGCATCCGACTCAAAGAATGATCCTGCCAAGGAAGCTTCCGATTTCACTGCCCAGGTGATCGTCTTGAACCATCCTGGTCAGATCAATGCTGGATACACCCCTGTGCTTGACTGCCATACTGCTCACATCGCTTGCAAATTTTACGAGCTACTGGAAAAGATTGATAGGCGTACTGGTAAGGTCCTAGAAAGCTCCCCCAAAAGCATAAAGTCAGGAGATTCTTGCGTTGTGAAGATGATACCAAGCAAACCCATGTGTGTGGAAACCTTCCAACAATATGCTCCTCTTGGACGTTTTGCGGTACGTGACATGAAGCAGACGGTGGCTGTGGGTGTAATTAGGGAGGTGACCAAGAAGGAAGGTGGTGGCAAGACCACAAAGGCAGCTGAGAAGGCACTCAAGAAGAAGTAACTATCTGTGGACGGCCATCTGGGCCTGGTGAGTGCAGCGGGCACCATGAGCTCTCTGCTTGGTTCACGCAATACTCGTATATGCCACAGGAAAGTTGTCAGGAGGAAAGATGCCCAGCAAAATAGGGTGATTATTATAATTTCTTGCTGTGCCATGTGGCATATATGAACAAACATCACTGATAACAAACACCAACATCGATTAAATTTCCGGCACTTCTTGTTTTTACTTCTCCTTAGTTCATGACAAGAAAACCTATTATTTTTTTTGTTTCTATGTAAACTAAAACTCAGCACTCTATTTATTACATGATATTGATTCCTGCCTACAACAAGGGGCTTCTCTAACTTACCCATTAAGAAAGGTACACGGCCAGGACATAATTCATGATGGGCTATGATGTTCTTCACCAATAAGATTCTACTCATGTTCAAAACTTATACAGGTATATTTTTTTCATCACAAATATTATAACATTGTGCCAAAAACATTTACTCTGATGTCATCAACTTAAAGGCTATCAATTTAACTGTAAAATGTATTAAATGATAGCCCATCTCCTGTTCTAAATACTGTAAACAAAACCTTATGTTAAAATTAATATTTGTCACTATGTTTTCATGAATAATTGTCATGTTTTATCAAAACATTGGCAGCGATATTTTAACTCACGTGGATGTTTATCAGGTATATAATTAGTAGTGATAGCTTTTCTATCTATATTAATAGCTCAGTGACTTCCAAAATTCATTAACATACTACAGTATAATTATGATGTATTTCTAGTAGCTTTGATGCATAATACTCTCACAAGCCTCGTTGTAGATAAGAGTTCTTTAAATTCAAGATACGTAGTCCTTTTGAAAAGGCCAATGTATTCTACTACTGCACTCACAGAGCTTGCACTGAAAACTACAAATGACCTAAATGTAACTGTCATTTGATAGCTTTGTTTATATATGCATTTTAGTCAGGTATCTCATCAAAAGTTGAAGACTTGTAGGCAAAGTCTGGTTGCTATTACATGTAAATCATGATGAGTATTTATAGAGTAAGCTCATGTAAGTGTTTAGGGTGCATCTCCTTCAACCCAACAACTAACTGTTAGTGCCCCTCAATAATCCCATGTAACAACTATTTAAGGTGCTTCTTAATATCTCACTCCAGCTGCCCTAAATTGCTATATGTGGCAATACCCATTCTTTATACTTGGTACATAATATCAGTGTTCAGTAATATCAACTGCATATGGTGATCTGTAATAACAAAAGTATAGTAAAAAAACAGAATGAGCCCAAGCAATTACACTAAGTTGTAAAGGAATGTATGTGAAATGTCAAGTGAGTAATGATCAAAAGTAAATTGGTTAAAATAAAGGACCAAAGGAATTATACAAACTTGCGGTAGCCTTTTCTTGCTTGACAGTTCACAAAACATGGAAATCTGACAATTCCTGTGGCTCATCAAAGCTGGATGACACAAAGCATTACACTCAGGTAAACCTCTATGAAAAGAGTAAATGAAAGCCAATACTTGTACCTGCACTGTCACAAATAATTAACCTTTAGATAATATGAGGCTAATCTTAATGCTTTGTACTGATCTAGAATGATGATGGAATTAAAATACAGTACAGTAAACTTAACATCATTAACGATTAATGAATAAAGAAGAAAATACTGAAATGCTGCTTGTTTTTAACCATCATTATCTTTAATAGCATGACAATTAATGAACTAACCATATGTCTCTTTTGTTACTTCCTCTTACACACTTCAATAATGTTATTAATCATCATTATCCTTAACAGCATAACAATTAATTATCTAACCATCTGTCTCTACTGTTACTTCCTTCAATAATTTTCTTAACACAATATCCAGTTAACAACTAAGATCAGTATTACCTGCACACTCCCTGCTTATGTAGTATGTATAGAATAACACACCCATGATTCAATTGACATTAGAGTAGACACCAAATACACTGTTTACACAATTAAATTCATACAGTATTTCCCTCCCTTTAGGGCATCTGATAATACCTTTGAAAATTACTGTACAGTATTTGTAATCTCAAGATCCCATTCTCCATCGTTATACTAAGTGTTCTCCTGTATTTTCATATGCTTGGCTTTCTCTAATACCTTACTTATAAAACTTGTTTAGCAACTTTTGCAAACACCACACTGCCTTTTAGAAGCATTCACAAATTGCACATTGTCAGTCTTCCTTTGATTGCACACATTACACTTCCTTACCCCAGGATAGGCAGAACTGCACACTTAATTAATTTTGTCAATTTCACAACCTTGCCTTCATCATTTTTAACTCTACAAGGTTCCAATAACCTGCCTACTTTTAATTTTTAGAAAATCTCAGAACACATTCCTAATACTGCCACTAGGAACACTTGCACCCTTTCCAACTCATTATCCAACCACACTGCACAGTGATGTCCCTCTCCAACACCAGTGACTTGTTTTTGAGATGTTTCAATATATAAATAAAGTACCTTTACACCCTTCTCTTAAGTTTTCTCACAACTCCTGTGCAGCATTTCTCATTTGTAATCTTTCGGACTACACCCTTTTATAGCCTCACGCTTCTACTCTTATCCACATTACCTGCTATAATATTCCATGTAACTCCATCTAGGGGACTAGATGTGTGTGTGAAAAATAGTTTTGTTCTCATATTTTTTCCTACTTACTTTATATATATATATATATATATATATATATATATATATATATATATATATATATATATATATATATATATATATATATATATATATATATATATATATATATATATATATATATATATATATATATATATATATATACAGTGATCCGTTGACCTAACTTCTCGGTTAACGAAATTTCGTTAACTTAACTGCTCTCCATAAGTTAATCTTCAATTCGTTAATCCAACAAAAAATTCGTTAATCTATTCTACGAACCTATCTTCAAATATGTTTTTCGCTTGCACTGCCGGGCAACCAGCTTTAGTATCAGTCCGCCAATACATTAATCGGTTCTAGGGCTTAAATTCCTTACTATTTTAGTAAATATCAAAAGTTTATACTATTCAATAATTTTAAAAGTTTAATATTCAATTTTTTAGTCATTTTAACAATTATTGAACATAATTGAAGGTAAAGTGACTAGTTTAATGCGCGGCATCCAGCCTCTTAACACAGCAAACAGGCGTTAGTCTCTCTCTGTTTTCACTGGAGGTAACATCTTGCTTGAGACTCTCTTCAACTAAACGCTTTTTTTCTATGTTTCCAAGCAAATTATTGGTCATTTTGAAATATATTTTACACATTGACAATATATAATGCAGTGCAGTGTTGATTTAAAGAAAATAATCTTGAAATACACCAAAAGAACTAAAATTTTATGGGTGAAATGGTGCCATGGGGTGACTTCTCTTCCACCCCAGTGCCTTCTCTTCTTCCTTCTCCTCCACCCCCATTCTAATTCCCATCATCATCATCATCATCATCCAGGAGCCTTCTACATACACACCTCAAAGTAAGTGAACTTTTCTACCATTTTTGTTGAATTTAGGAAATTTTCGGTGAGCTGGAACCAATTACCCAAAAACCCATTGAAACAATGGTTTCGGTTAACGAACGACCTGCTGGAACGGATTGAGTTCGTTAACCGAGGGACCACTATATATATATATATATATATATATATATATATATATATATATATATATATATATATATATATATATATATATATATATATATATATATATATTATATATATATATATATATATATAATGATAAAGCTACTCTTCACACACGCAAAAAAAGTTCCCAGCATTATCTCAGATATTTTCTCACATCTACCAAGGTAACATATACCGTAGTTATAAAAGGGGAATTTTATAACTTTCCAACAGTGACTTTGGAATTTTGATACTTATTTTGGAGAGAGTGGAGTGTTACAGGGCAAATATTTCATGTTTGGTGTTGCCACTTTATATTTATTTCTGCAGCCTTCGTGGCAAAATCTCTTATTGCTTAATTTCCTAATTCCTTTTCTCAAAATACTGTATTTCATTCAGCGTCTCATTTGTTTATTTCCTCTTATTTATGGTAGTTATATTCTCAGATTTACTTAGTTACATACTTTATCTTTAGAATATAACATCCACAACAAACCTCTCAATTGGTAGCTTGGTATGCACGAGCGGTTAGGCATGTGAGTCATCAAGTGTATTTTCAGGGATGGCCATTGTTAGAAGGAATGAATGGTGATACACTACCTACAGTAGTAGGCAGCTATCAAACAGGGAGGTACAACTGCCTAGGAAGATGTTGGAAGCATTTGTGTTGTCTAATGGCAGACCCTGCTGCCATATGGCATCACAAAAACTGCAACCAAGTTCTAGGTTGTTGATCTGACTTCCTGCTTCATTTGCATGCAATTGCTGGGTCTCAACTGTTTCACTTGCTTTGACAACAACATACATAAATATCATTTCTCGCTCGATCTTTTTTTCTTTTCTGTATTTATGCTTATTTTAATATTTTTTAATAATTCTTATTATTATATTTTCGCCCCCAGGTCCCGATGTTGGCCAGTGACCTGAGTTTATACTACAGAATGACAAGGGGCACTTTAATAAGAATATAAGCATTACTCAGTCCAGTGTAAATATCTGGAATTAAGACGATCTGCCCCCTGAGCTCACACACTCAAGTTAAATAAGCTATCAATATTAAAAACTGCCAAGAACAAATTTCTTTGGAGGAGTTGTGAACTTTTGGAATAACCTGTCAAGTTAATGTTGCGAGCTCATTTAAGATTAAACTTAACCAACACACATGCTAAGGTACAGTCGGGGTCAACAGTTAGCTCCCTCCCAAAATGAAGCAGTATCGACCCCAAGTGAGATAAAACAGCACACCCGCACCAGATAACAGTCAGGGTAAATAAAGTTCGGAGACTCATTCCTGTGATTCAGTTTCACTTTGGAGAGCGAACTTTTGTCAGCGACTGTACAGTCCGCTCACTAGTGCGTTTACTAGTGAACAAATCATATCTATAGATACAGTATTTGTATTCCATAATGTGTTTACTATTGAGTTTCCTTCTGTCAAATGTAAACTAACACAGCCTACCACACTGCACAAAACCTGCCGAGCTCCTGCAAATGCACTAGTGAAGGGGACTGTACACTCAACAAAAACATCTCGAACTCCCTGGTACTATGGATGTGAGAAGAAGAATGGGCTTGCCATCTGGGAATGGTTTCAGATTCTTCGCTCATTTTTCAGATTGCTCAGTACTTATAGCATTTGAGAAGTTTTTGACAAAAGTACAATCTATAGCCTGTAAGCTGACAAGTGGAACATTTTTTTTTAGTTTTCAAGGCATTCCACCATCTGCAACATTCACTTTCTTGTCTTCATATTTTCCAATATATTCCTTTATTTGTACACTATTTTATTCAATTCTCAACCCTGTTCAAATACTTCTTTTGCTACCATTTAGAATAAGGTATTTTTAAATATACTGTATTCACCTACCATAGTTTTTGTATTTTTGTTACTAATCTTTCAGTTGTAAAAATAATTCTAAATTACAAGACTAATGGTTTCATCAAATTAACAAAAACTTCAGTAAAACCTAACGTTTCTAGATTATGGTATGACTGATGAGAATGAAAGTGAAAGTATCACCAGTTATGACAAGGGTGGCTAATAAGTGCAGCATTACACTGTACAGGGTATATAGTACTGTACTTGAAATATGATCCAGACAAATTCCACAAGTGCACTTCACTTCATTATTTGAAGACAAAGAATAATTAAGAAGGAAATTAGATTATAAAGTATTCTGTTAATTCACAGAGGTCCTTGGAGAAAGTTGTAATGAAAAACTAACCCAAAATTAATGAAGCTGCCAAAAAAAAAAAAAAAAAACAATTGAAGTACTCCCTGTACTGTACAAGTAAAGTGTGAGAATATTAAAATTAATTAAAGAATTGATAGAAAAGTGCATTGCTACTGCTCTTCTAAACACAAGACCTTTATAATATTGATTTGTCCTCTTATGTACTGTAAACCATTTTAAACTAATTGTAGCAGTTTACTTACAGATAGCTCTTGATGTTGAAACAAAGCAGGAAGAGGCAAAGATCTGAGTAATCTGAAGACAATATGGGTTTCAGTGAGTATAATAATGAATTCTCAAAATAACTTCCCTCTAGAAATGCAGAGAAATTTTATTTAGAGTATTTGAGAAATTCTACATATTATAAATCATTATGCAGCCATATCTGCAGCTTGTGATGATCATAATGGTTTTGCCAGATTTCTTGTGATTACATTTTTATAATACTTAGCTTGTCTTCACTAATTATTGTATTGCAAGCTCTAACACTGATTAGATTGTGTGCAATTAACCTAAGAAATTGATGTGACCCATAACATTATCATAGTTCAATGAGCTCCTTCCTTACCTAACAGGTACATTGTGCTCACTTAATGTTCAACTTTTTAACATAACTCCTCTTAGAAATCTTTTACTTTCCTTTCTCATTCATTATTCCTAATCCTTGATCATCTTCAACAGACTATATATGGTTCTCTGTACTATAGCTTCATAATCTAACCAACTCTAGATGTAGCACCCTTTATAAGATGTACTCATGTTCCATAAATACCATTCAGCTTGTTTCTGAACCTCTTAATACATATGGTTATTGCAGTCCACTATACACCACAGTTCATTTTAATAAATAAAAAACACATTAAATTCCAGTTTTATTTTTTTATTACAAAAATTGGTTGCCTACTGAATGGAGTTTTTAAAAAAATTTTAGAAGGCAAAATATGCATACTTTTCTTCTGAACTACATAAAAAGCCTAGCAATGGACCAATTAATATACCGTACTCACTGAAGCCCTTGTCATCAGATTACTCAGTCCTGTGCCTCTTCCTTCTTCATGCCAACAGCAGTTGTCTGCGAAAAACCATCACAATTAGTTTTAAAGTTGAAAATGATTTACATCACACAAGTAAGGACAAGCTCAGTATTATAAAAATGTAATCACAAGAAATCAGGTGAAACACGGTTATGATCATCACTGAAACTGCAGACATGGCAGCATAATGCTGAAGAAATTGTGAAGAATTTCTCCAATACTCTAAATAAATATTTCTCTCATTTCTAGAGGGGAGTAATCATTTTAAGAATTCATTTAAAACCAATGTAATGTAAAATTAAATTTAATTACCAAATATAGATCAATCGTCTGCAGCAGCACCCAGGCCAATGTTGCCAACAACTAATTGAGGTCCAGGTCAGAGGATGCCTGGCCAGTAAGGCTCAGCATTCACATTGGCAGTCTTCAGTATGGTGTAAACCTTTTCAACCTGAAAAAAAGTAGCTAGTATCAACCAAAATAAATACTATTCTTCAAAGTACCAAAGCACCTGAATCATTAGTACAACAATACAAGCTTGATGTCCAAAATAAAAAACTGCATTAGATAACCTTATCAAAACTACTACCTTGAGTCAGGTTTGTTTGGTTACCTCACATCCTCCAGTACTGTACTGAGCCTGGAACAAGAACTGGCAAAAAATCTACTAGTTCCTGCTGGGTTTTACAATGTAAGTGATAATGAGGCCTCCATCAGTGCCAAATAAAACCCCAGCTGACAAGAGACAACTGAGAACAGGTAGAGACGTCTGCCCTGTTCTAGATATGTTTTATTAAACTGGTACACTGTCATACAATACAATGCCAGTTCCCCTTCAGCCACAGGTCAGGTTGGATATATATATGCAGCCTGCTGCTTGCTCCAGTTCAATGGCTTCAGATACTTCAAGTTAACTTGTTAACATTTTGTTATATTCAATATTTGGTGATATCATCATTGTACAGTATGTATATATAGAAGATTGCACAGGTGACTGTCTGAATAGTAAACACATTTGATTAAGTTAAATCGCTTATCTGGTGTTTTCGAATAATATATTAACTCCCAGAGTACAGTACTCGGGGATTCTGTACACTAACGTTCATATTGTAATGAAAGGATTAGTTATGATATTTCTAATCTCAAATGCACAAGGGGTTTCTTTTCTTTAAGCTGCAAAACAGTCACATGACAGCTAGAGCAAAACATCAAGCTGAAAATCACAATGAATGGATTCAGGGTAGAAATAACTCGGATTCATTATGTGGTTGCTGTTAGGCTAAATTAGTTGTATCGAACATGTTAAACTACTAAATTAAATAAGTATACACAATAAATGTATATGTTGTTTTACGTGCAAGAAATAAATTAGTAATAAATAATATCCTATCGTTGCACATTCCTTGCAGGGTTTACTATAATTTAGGAAACAGTTCCGGAACCGAACCAGACCCCGGAGCCGATTAGTTGCAGTTCTGCATCTCTGACAACTGTACATACATGACAGTTTGGAGTGGACACACATTTTGCATTCTTTGGGAATTGACATGTTTTTGTCTCCCCATCAATCAATTGAATTTACCATCTAAACATTGTATGGTACTGTGTTAAAACCTTTTTACCTGTGAAGATGGTCATACTCTCATATGGAACACCAGAACTAGGAATCTGTTTGAAGTCCTGATGTTCTCACCTTTTCCTGCTTTAGTGTGCTGTAACTTCAAGTGCAAGTCCCAACAGACATTGGCTGTAAAATACATAAGATTACTGGATATCTCAATATTGGAACCCAAGTCCCTCTCACTAACTTCGTGGGCTGGCAGATGCATCTGTAAAGATGCAATTTGGGACTGGATCACTTGACCCAATGTTCACTAAAATGGAAAACTGTACCTGTGAAAGACTGCAAGGGGGTGAGTATTCCGACCTGGGCCAATCTTACCAGAGGGTTAAGAAGCAAGCACAAGTGCTGTATACCTAATTATGGGAGACCCCATTTTAACTTAAATATTTTGAATGAAACTCCCCCATACAAATACATGGCTGGTGAACGAGCATTTGGCTCATATATCAGCTTTCAAAATACAATACACAATTGGATGCAAAATTTCTATGAACTAAACCTTCAAACGGCTCAACCAAATCTTTTAGTTTGTTGGTTTACCCAATTTCCAAAACTAGCTTTCGATATACATGTAAACGTCTTTCATTCAAAATGCATTTGGCCTGATTACAGGTATCAAATCTTAAAAAAGAATTACTTATACCAAATGTTTCCACCCCCTCCCAGAACTACCATACAATTTAAATGAAGGATGAAGAGAAAGGTACTTTAATTCCACTTTTATTTAGGAATTCCAAAAAAATAATTTGTCTAGCCGAACAGACCTGAAAAGAGAGAGATTTGCACATTAGCTTCGATCACATTTAAAATTATTTTGAAGTGAAAATAATATCAAAGGACTTTAAAACTGAACTTCAATGACAGTTGTGAAATAACTAACCTCAATATCAAAATAATTTCATGTAAACACAAAACTAGCATTGTCACTTTAAAAAGTCAAGTTTCTCTACTTACTGAAGCCCATGTCATCATCAGATTCCTCGGACTCCGGCGCTTCTTCCTTCTTGGCCTCGGCAGCAGGTGCTGTCAACAAACCAGAGTTAGATCAAAATTGAATATATTCTACATCACAGAAATAAGACAAGCATCAGTACCATAAAAATGTAATCACTGTAAATCAGGTGAAACACGGTATTAATCATCATTACAAACTGCACTCTGAAATCATTATTAGGATTATGGCAAAGAATGAGCATGTACACCTGCCAAGAAAAATACGCTGACCCTTGGACCCTGGGCTACGATGGTATTTGAACACACAATTCCTCTCGTTAAAGTTGGTAAGCACGAACGAGTCGATGTTTCAAGACACCTCGAAACAGTACGAACTCTACCTTTGAAATCTAGCAAACTTTGCTCTTATCTACCAAATAAAAGGCCGATTATAGTGAAACAGCTATAAAGCGAGGTAACGGTTCGGCATTTCACTGTTGTCAGTTTTCCCGAGCCTGAGGTTTTTTTTATCTTATTCACGAAAACAGCCACATCAACACCTGTCACGTCGTCAAAGAGTGGTGTGGCCAACACCCGGAAAAAACACAACTGCCACATCCACCACAATCCCGGACCTTAACCCCACCGAAAATGTATGGTCTGCCATGACAACGGATGCCGATGAACCACCCCAGGAGGCGCAAAAGTGTCACGAGTACACTACAGGCGTGGGAAGAGTTGCCAAGTCCAGCCGGTTAAGTCCTCACTTAAGTTAGTGGACTCCATGCCCAGGAGACTTAACAACTTAATAGAGACTGGGGATGCTTATATCAATTATTAATGTAGGGTTTCTTAAATGCTTTACTTCCAAGATACAAATATTGTGAATTTACAAACTTATAATGAGAATATAAGAACACAAGAAAATAAGGAGTCTGCAATAGGCCGGTTGGCCTGTGCATGGCAGCTCCTGTCGAGAGTTACTACCACTCACTATCATCCATGAATCTATCTAGCCTCCTTTTGAAACTTTCCAGAGTTCCCGCACTTACTACAAAGTTGCTAAGCTTGTTCCACTCGTCCACCACCCTATTTGTGAGCCAGTTTATTCCTATCTCCCTCCTAAACCTAAACTTATCCAACTTGAATCCGTTGCTCCGAGTCCTATCCTGCTCGGATAATATAAGAACTTTATCTATATCCCCTTTATTGATTCCTTTCACCCACTTAAATACTTCTATCATATCTCCCCGCACTCTTCGTCTTTCTAGGGAATGCAAGTTAAGTTTCTTTAACCTATCCTGATATGGAAGGTTTCTAAGTCCCGGAATCATTTTTGTCATTCTTCGCTGCACCGACTCTAGCGAATTTATATCCATTCTATAATAGGGGCACCAGAACAACATTAGCCAAAGGAAGGCTATAGGTAGAAGGATAAATCGTGGCGAAATTCACCTCCGGGACTATTATAGGGTATTGGCGAGTAGGGTAAAACCGAGATAAGGAAAGCAGAGGAATAATGAGGTAAGGATAGCAAGGGAGGCGAAGACAAACCCCAAAGGATTCTACCAAATGTATCAAACTAAAACACGAGAAAAGATTGGACCAATACGGTCAGACTCCAGCGAGCTCACTGATAACGACGGAGAAATGAGCAATAATTTGAATAAATATTTTTCAACAGTTTTCACCACCAAAAATTTAAACATGATACCCGAGGCACCGACTCTATTCAGAGATAGTGAAGAAAACAAATTAAGTGAGATAGTAGTGACTAGTAACGATGTTAGTAAGCAAATAGACAAACTAAAGCCTAATAAGTCACCTGGTCCCGATGAGATATATGCCAGAGTATTAAAAGAATGTAAGGAAGAGCTTAGTATGCCCTTTGCAAAGTTGTTTAACATGTCCTTAAAAACAGGTGTAGTACCAGAATCCTGGAGGATAGAGCAAATGTAATACCGATTTTCAAGAAGGGGGATAGATCACTATCCTCTAACTACCGCCCAATCAGTCTAACATCAATAGTAGGCAAATTACTGGAAGCAATCATTTCAAACTCTATTCGAAATCACCTGGAGAAGCACCGATTGATCAATGATTCCCAGCATGGCTTCACAAGCGGACGTTCTTGCCTAACTAATCTATTAACATTCTTTTCATCAGTTTTCGAATCGGTGGACGAGGGGCACAATTATGATGTGGTATATCTCGACTTTAGCAAAGCCTTCGTCAGAGTCCCCCACGAAAGACTAATTAGAAAGGTAGAAGCTTATGGCATCAAAGGTGACATCCTTAAATGGATTAGGGCGTGGTTACAGGACAGGAAACAGCGAGTGAACATTAACGACACTAAGTCCCATTGGAGCAACGTCACAAGTGGAGTTCCCCAAGGCTCAGTACTTGGACCATTATTATTTATTATATACATAAACGACATAGATAGCAACATAAGTAAATTTGCTGATGACACTAAAATAGGACGTGTTATCAAATCTGACAAGGACTCGGCAAAACTACAGGAAGATCTAAACAAATTTTTCGAATGGTCTGAAAAATGGCAGATGAAATTCAACGTCGACAAATGTAAAGTACTCAGTATAGGAGATGTAAACAGGGAAACCAGATACCAGATGAACAACAATGCCATAGAGAAATCCGACTGCAAGAGAGATTTAGGAGTAATGATAAGTAGGAACCTTAAGCCAAGTAAACAAAGTGTTTTTGCTCGTAACAATGCTAATAAAGTACTTGGGTTCATACAAAGGAGTGTTAGTTACAAGACTAGCGAGGTCATCCCAAAACTGAATCTTGCTCTTGTGAGACCACACCTGGATTACGCAGTTCAGTTCTGGTCACCGTATTACAGAATGGATATAGAATCCTTGGAAGAATTCAGAGGAGAATGACAAGACTAATCCCGGGCAATAGGAACCTTGAGTATAGAGACAGGTTAAAGCATCTTAATTTGCACTCCCTTGAGAGACGTAGAGCGATGGGCGACCTGATAGAGGTGTATAAGTGGAAGGCAGGGCTAAACAAAGGGGACATTACAAAGGTACTCAAACTATCCAACCAGGAGCGAACTCGTAACAATGGTTTTAAATTAGACAAATTTAGATTTAGGCGTTAAATAGGTAAACACTGGTTTGGAAACAGAGTAGTGGATGAATGGAACAAGTTACCAAATATCATCATTAACTCGAATACTCTGAATTGCTTCAAACATAGGTTGGATGCTCATATGAGCAATAGGGGTTGGGTGTAAACGGGACTGCCCAGTATGGGCCAATAGGCCTGCTGCAGTTACCTCCATTCTTATGAACCGCATAATCAAGGTGCAGCCTGACTAGCGCAAGATATAGTTGCAATAAGACATCTGCACTCATGTTACTTACACTTTAAGATACAAAACCCAATACTCTGTTTGCCTTATTTCGAACATTAACGCACTGTTTTCTAGGCCGTAGGTCCGGGCTTACAAGTACCCCTAGGTCTCTTTCACAAGTCGACTTCTCTAGGTTGATGTTGTTAAGGCTGTATACATTATAAGTATTTGTTCTTCCAATATTAAGTACGATGCACTTGCTGGTGTTGAATTTCATTTGCCATTTTTCAGACCACCCCTGCAGTTTTAGATCCTCCTGTAATGCATTTGCATCCTGCCCTGAATTAATTTGCCGCCCTATTTTGGTGTCATCCGCAAACTTGCTTATGTCTGATAACTGATAACCCAATTACTGCCATATTAGGAAAGTAAGACTACCAATGTTAAACACCCCCTTTCATATTTTGTGCAGTTTGTCATATTGTCATTGTTTGACGCTGTGAGGGTCCACGTTACTTTCTTGACGGGTATACCTCAACAATAAATAAATAAATAAATAAATAAATAAATATATATATATATTGACATTTATTGACATGCAAAAAAAATCTGTTAGTTACCTGCGGCTGCAGCAGGAGCAGAAGCAGCAGCAGCAGCTGGAACGCCAGCACCAACACCTGAGCCGACGTTGCCGACAATTGACTTGAGATCCAGACCTGAAGATGCCTTGGCAAACATGCCTGGCCAGTAAGGCTCAACACTCACGTTCGCAGCCTTTAGGATGGTGTTGATCTTCTCGGCCTAAAAACCAGAAGTTCACATCAGCACAACAATTTTAAATAGTATTAAAATTATCTAAGCAACAGAATCAATAGTAATTTAATTTAGGAAAACAGTAAAATCTCATATATAAGGATTAAATATAAAACTCCATTAGCATTTAGCAAAAAAATAGTGAATTACCCACATTATTAAGCACACCACCATGGAGGCTGCACCCCCAACTCAGCAATGTATATCAAGGTGGGCAGCAAAAGCAGTTTCCTCAACAGTGCTCCCAAACTTTACACTATGAATTAAATTACTATATATGCTAGCCCATAAGATGCACTCTCCCACAAAAGAATGCATCTTATGAGCCTATACTGTATTATCAAATATTGTTGAGTAAGAGAAGGTCAGTTTCAACATTTACATATACCTAGGGTCACATGCAGTCCTCTAATGAATCCAATAATAATCTAATTTTTTTACTACAGCATAAATAAAGAATACTGAAGAAAAGTAAGGAATACTATCACAAACGTAAAGTATCGCCTACACGGTAAGCAAAAATGTAGAAGCGAACTCACAGTCCTGTACTTCCTTTCCCAGCATCATAAACTATACCACCTGCCCTTCTGTTATTTAACAATTGCACTACATGCAACTTCTAAATACCGGCGGGTGGATGACCAACACGATTTTACATAAGAATGGAGGATATTGCAGCAGGCCTATTGGGTCATACTGGGCAATCCCATTTACACCCAACTCCTATTGCTCATATATCCATCCAGCATATTCGAGTTAATGATGATATTTGTTAACTTGCTCCATTCATCCACTACTCTATTTCCAAACCAATGTTTACGTATTTCGCACCTAAATCTAAATGTCTAATTTAAAACCATTGTTACGAGTTCGCTCCTGTTTGGATAAGAACATAAGAAAATAAGGAGTCTGCAATAGGCCGGTTGGCCTGTGCATGGCAGCTCCTGTGAGTTACTACCGCTAGAGTACCAATGTAATGTCACATTTGTTCAGCCCCGACTTCCATTTATACACCTCTATCATATCGCCCCTCACTCTACGTCTCTCGTGGTAGTGCAAATTAAGATGCTTTAACCTGTCTCTGCACTCAAGGTTCCTAATGCCCAGTTAGGTTAGGTTCGGATTTGAGTGTAACACCTAATTACACACAAAAAAATACATTCTCATAACTATTACGAGCAACAGCCATTAAACGAATACTTACCCCAAAAATTAATGAAACATTCTTTCATAACACATCAGAGACCATTTCGTTACTGTCAACAGTTAAAATTTACCCAATTGTTACTTCGTCATATATTCAAGCGCAATTCACCATCACTAACTTTTCATTATAAGACAAATAAGAATAATACTGAAGCAACACTAAACTTTCCGGAGAAATAATGAGGTGAGGAGCAGCCAGCCTCCTCATGTAAACAATGTGGCGACCTTATATATTTCCTTATATTATCTTACCGTGATAGGTACTTCATCATCCATAAGGATGAGAGCGGCATATACACATGCCAGTTCATCGTTGGATGCCATCTTGTTGCTTTAAATACACGGATGTCCCTGCAACTCGGCGATAAAGTACCACCTTTAACCCTGCGTGGGGAGAAGCAGGTTGTTCTTCCAAGGAGAGGGAGTGACGGAGAGAGCCACTGTTGACATGTGGCGGCGGGGCGCACCACCCGGGACACGTGAGCCTCGCCTGGCGTCACCCGCCACACTCTACCTCATATTACACAAGGTTTTGCAATACGACTAATATCCACATACCAGAAAATGTATTTTAGAAAAATAATATACCTAATATAACTTTAAATATATGTTGCATATGAGAGTTGGAATACCTAATATGAATTGTTACTGAGTTACTGGTTTTGGAGTAGATTGCAAAAAATAAAATTATTTAAATAATATAATCATCAAACAATTTCAAATTGATACATCATGTACATCGACTGTACAATCATACAGACAGTGAAACAGGAGGTCGTTTCATCCAAGAATATCAATAGACAGCCGTGTTTAATCCTGCTTTACACCAAGGATTCGAGATAATAGAAAAGGATAGCCCACTCTTTGGGCGAACTAGTTCACCGTCCAAAGTAATACCAAGCGGCGGGGGAGTAAACTAAATAATTACTTAGAGGTGATTCGTACATCTACTTCTGTCAATGTTGATTGTTCATTAGCTTGTATGAGAGTTTTCTTTATCTTATACATTTAGTACTGGTAACGTTCCACGGTTCAGAAATGTTAGTTAACATCAGAGTATAATTAAAGTATATAAGATGTGCAGGATACTGTTGTATTCTCAAAAATATAAGCTTGAACTTTGAATTTTGGGTCATTATTCGTTTTATGACCACCTCTGACATTTTGGACGAAATTTAATGTATTTCCTGTACATTTCGATGTATTTTGAAGGGATTTCATACTAATTTCTGGGGCTAATTCATGAAAATCTTGCCAACCCAAATTGTATGGTAAAACACTCTAAAAACGAACCAATCCAAACCTAACGAAACCTGACCTAACCTAACTTTACCTAACCCAACCGAACCTAATAACAATAATATATGGTATATTTTTCAAAAATCACTTCTCAAATAAAAAAAAATGTTTTTGTAATCAGCAGTAAATTCTGCATTCAAAAACATTATACACACACACACACACACACATATATATATATATATATATATATATATATATATATATATATATATATATATATATATATATATATATATATATATATATATATATATATATGTGTGTGTGTGTGTGTGTGTGTGCAAGTAAATCACTGTAAGTGCGCGTGATCCAGGTATATGCTGATAACCACAAGGAAAGAAGAAAACACGAAGCATTGCATTGACTGGGATAATACCTCCTCAATATTACCTTGTAATTCAATTGACAGTAGGAACATTATAGAATCTAGTCTCATTAAACATACCGAAGCAGTCAACATGAATTTGAGTAATGGTATGTACAAACTGGACAATCTTGTAATTAAGAAGATTGTGTTGGGGTGAGCTGTGGATGCCATGGAGAGAGATGGTAGGTGTTGTAAGAAGTGCCAGGCCCAGAAATCATTGTTGTGTGTGTTAGAAGTCCACCCGGTGTATAGTGAGTCATAACTGTGGCCACTGCAAATTCCTTCAGGATCTCTGGTTGTCTCAAACTCGTTGTACTCCGGATGTTGAAGATGCGTTGGTGCTACTTTGAGGTGCTGTCACTTCTATAATGAAGGACGGTATTAAGGATGCAGATATGGACCTTGGATGATTGTGTATTGAAGTACCTAATCTACCTGGCAGGAGTATAAAGGTGAGAAGGGTACCTGCTGTGTTAATTTGGTGACAAGAGTAACCTGTCTACTGTAGGTCAATATTTGTCTTTTACCCATTCTTCTCCTAGTATTTCTGGCTACCCTAAATATTGTTATGCCGAGGCATAATTTCGTATTATAATCTTGTAAACTAGGTGTTTTGATTGTTTTCTGTCCCACGCAGCAGTTATTTTTGGTAAATTTAATGAAATTTTCGTGCATATATTGATTTTTTTTAAATAAACAAATTCAGTACACTTCACACATTTATTGAGGTAAAATATGTTGCATGTAAATACAACACAGTAATACTACCGATGCTACTATTTAACCACATCAAACACGCCTTAACAGCATTGGGAAGATAATTTTCAAATTTCCAGCTGCCTAGCGTACGGGAATTGTCGGGTGGAACTCGGTACGTTTTTAGAATTAAAACAAGTGATCGTGGGCACTTCGTGCCCGGTGGCGAGTCCGGTGGTACAGTTTACCAAAGTGCGAAAGTTCGAACGCTCGTGTTTGGCTAGAGGGCAACCGTCGGAAGGCTGGCAGCGTACAGAGATATCGTTTTCCAGCGTAAATAAAATGGTTAATTAATGCCTTCCTAAAGAAACCTTCGACATGGGACCAGGTTTGTTCCACTCTTCGATTTTTTAGAGATTTTTCCACCAAGTTTGATGAAAAACGATTGTGCCGTTTCGGCTGCCCAGAACAGACACACACACAGACACAAGGCTATTCCTATAGTATATGAGATAATCATGGTTGTGGTTGTTATGATCATGGTCGTAGTTGTTATAATCATAGTCGTGGTTGTTATAATCATAGTCGTGGTTGTTATAATCATAGTCGTGGATGTTATAATCATGGTCGTGGTTGTTATAATCATAGTCGTGGTTGTTATAATCATGGTCGTGGTTGTTATAATCATGGTCGTGGTTGTTATAATCATGGTCGTGGTTGTTATAATCATGGGCGTGGTTGTTATAATCATGGTCGTGGTCATTATAATCATGGTCGTGGGTGTTATAATCATGGTCGTGGGTGTTATAATCATGGGCGTGGTTGTTATAATCATGGTCTTGGTTCTTATAATCATGGGCGTGGTTGTTATAATCATGGTCTTGGTTCTTATAATCATGGTCGTGGTTGTTATAATCATAGTCGTGGTCGTGATACTTACATTATCTAATATACTATAAGAAAGAATAGAATAAACGTTAGAATAATTAATTAAAGAAATATTCGCCATAAGGAGAGGTTAAAATCATAAAAAAAATATATATATTCTGAATCACCGATGATCATTCCGAGATAAATTATATTATGAAGAGAAGTAACCTTGATTCTGGTTAGATTAGTCACCATCTGCTTAAGTCATCACCTGTGTTAAGTCATCATAGTCATCATCTACGTGAGTCAGTTTTAGGCCCATCTCACATGACTGACCGACCATCCATGTTTTTTCCGCGCTAGGTGTTAGTTTTCAATGCGTCTTATTAGTTATGTTGATGGATGTAAGACCTCCTACCCTCACTGACGCAGCTATGGTCAATTTGGTGTTATTCTTGTTTATAAATGCCTTCTAATCTGTCTCAAGTCTATCCGTTCTGTCTATTGCCATCCCAACTGTCTGTTCGTCTGCGTGGTGTTTGACTGTAAGCCCGTCTGTACTCTTTGTGTCGTCAAATCTATCTGTCTTATCCGTTGTTGGCGTGTGTCTGCCTGTTTGTGTAATGTGAACCAGTCAGTCAGCTGTCTGTCTGTCATGTTAGCTGCCATATTGTCTATTTGTGCATGTATGAATATGTTTATTTTTGTCAACCTCCTGTCTGTTTCACTGTCTATATTCACCCTGTGTCTATTGTAGTCATCTTCTCCATGCATTCCTGTTATTATTTCTTTTCCATGTACAGTCAGCCACAGGAATAAGTATACACTGTAGCTGTAAGGTCGTCTGGTAACGTTGAAACTGTGCATCCAGACGCATGATGAAACTCAGCTCCCCCCCCACCTGTTATCTCTAACTATTTTAATTTTTCCCTTCTTTATTCTTTTATTTACTCATCAACCGTCCTTTACTAATCCAAACAACATTAAAAAAAAGTAGGCTAAGAAAAAAAGTGGGGGGAGGAGGAGGGAGCCGTAGATAACTGCAATCGTGGGCTGACAGTATACAGCGAATGAGGGTGCGTCAAGTCCGTAGACTTGCATCGTTTTCCACCGTAAATATAATTGTTAACTAATGCCTTCCTAAAGAAACCATCGACATCGGACCAGGTTTGTTCCACTTTACGATTTTTTTGCGATTTTTCCACCAAGTTTGATGAAAAACGATTGTGCCGTTTCGGCTGCACAGACAGACAAACAGACAGACATACAGACAGACAGACAGACAGACGGATAGCGCTATAGTATATTAGATGACTATATGTACTGTACAGTTATCTCAAGATTTGACATTGAGTTTGTGAGTTTGACCACCTTAATCCCGTGCGCTGTTGTCACCCACCACTGCCGCCACACCGAAGGCGTGTGATGTACACGACATAATAACACACTAATAGAATGACCACAGCGGGGCGTCTCAGAATATTATGGCCAGCGAAGACGTGTGTGTTTGGGGGTGAGGAAAATCTTAGCCCTTGGTGACCATCAGCAGTACGGCCATCACCACTACTAACTTCCTCGCTGCCTCATACAACCACAAGAATTGTCAAAGTTTAAATCAAGGATTCTTTTATCACCTAAATAAGTCAAAGCTTATTGTCAGCCCGGCAAGAAAGGCTGTCCTTTTCTATGATTGTTTCATTTTATTTTTATTTAATTCTTTCTACTGATAGAATATATTGTTGTTAATGATGTTTAAAGCTACATTTATCGTGCAATCAACTCCTCTTATCAAATCGTCATCTGTTTCGTTAAAGTGTTAAAGTGTTTTGTTCCCTGTGGTTACTTGAAATTTTATTCATCCATAAGATATGAAACCTGTTTTGTATTATCAAATAAGCCAAATATAATTTGCATATATTGCTCTTTGGCTGCTTGTCTGTCTGTCTCTTTCTACAGCCCTCCGTCTCTCTCTTCTCTCTCGTTTTATGCGCCTATTAATATTTCGTCTCTGAATATAATTATGTCCCTATTGACTCCAGATTTCTCCCCCTTTATCGAACACACACACACACAATATATATATATATATATATATATATATATATATATATATATATATATATATATATATATATATATATATATATATATATATATATATATCATGTAGATCCACAATGAAAACGTGGATAAGATAAACCTTGATAAAATCACACAGGGAA